AAAACGCAAGATTTTACCAAATACATTTTCATTTTTGTCAAATTTTTTGAAACAAATTTTTTTTTTTTACCAAACATGGTCCTTAGTTCTACCCGAAATACTCTTACAAGAAAAACATATCGAATATCAAATGGACCCTAAAGTTTTGGACTCTGTGTTGATACTAGAAAGAATTATAGTAGAAATTGAGACACTCCATATTCTAGGCCTTGTGTTTTATGACAATTGACAAACTATGGGTTGAATTTTGAGCCCAATACAGGAGTAAATTTTTAGTTATAGGCCCAGCTTTATATTAGAGACTTCATTTGCCTATCATTTTATCACCACCTAAAAGCTATCATAATTTATTTTTTAAAATGAGTGTCACTCTCATATTTTTCTCACTTTCACAAATATTGTGATTCCGCTCCAGTTCTATGAAACATAGGTAAAAAATTGACACAATTACATTTAGTTGAGAAACGTGTACTTGTTTGATAACTTGAGCTTGGTAGGCTGGCCAACCCGAAGGTACTAACCTCATGCCAGTCCTAACAAATTTCACCAAATTCTAACTTCTTAAGACAGTCCCAACATTTATATTTCAATTTAAATTGACCTCTTCAAGAAAAAAATCTAAGACATGAAAATCCAGTTAAGCATGTTTGTAAATAACATTAATATCTGTTTGGTAGGAAGAAAGAAAGAATGGTGCAAGGAAGATGAGAATGAAGAAACAAACTTCCTTCTTTGGTAGATAAGAAGCAAGGAGGGAAGGGAAAAGAGGATGGGCGAGTCATCCTTTATCCTTCACAAATTTTTATCCTTACAAATATATAGACATGAAGGATAGACAAGTCTATTATAAAAGTTTTTAAGTTGCAAATTTTTTTTTTTTATAATTAACTCCCTCCCTTCTCTTTTCTCATAACAAACAAAGTGTTATTGCTTTCTCTTCTCTTCCATCCAACCAAACAAAAAGTAAGGAAGCAATTAAGTAAGGACACAGTTGCTTCCTAAGGATGTCTCATTCATCTATTTTTCACCCATTTTCATCTAATTTTCTTCCTACTTACCAAACAGAGCATAATGATCAAAGAGATGATGAAACGTCTTAAGGTCGACAATTTAGAAGATTTTAAAGATTAATGTTGCGTTTGGTATGAAGGAAGAAAATTGGATAAAAGGGAAATAACAAGAGATAAAGAAGACATCCTTATAGAAGAGATTGTGTGCTTAATTCCCTCTTTATGTTTATTTGTCAGTACAGAAAAGAAGAGAATGAAATACTATCTTATTTTATTTGTCAGTACAGAAAAGAAGAGTAGGTATTACTTACAAGGAAAGTTTTATAATAAAAAATTTTATCTTGGGTTTTTCTTCGCGTCTTCCATCCATATTTGGAAGGATAAAAATTTGTGAAGGATGAGACTCATCCATCCTCTTTTCTCTCGTCTCCTTGTCTCATTTCTATCAAACGAAGAAAATTTGTTTCTTTATTTCGATCCTGCACCCTTCTTCCTTTCTTCCTACCAAACGAAACATAAGTTTGTACCCAATTCGTCTCTCCCACCTTTCTCAGTTAAAATATGATCTCAACAAGAGATGATTTTAATTACAGAAAAACACAATAAAATGCTGGGATTTGTTTGTAATCAATACATCAATTGATCTCAAGGAGTCCTATTTGATCTTTTGCACTGTGTCAACAAAAACATACTCCCTCTGTCTCAAATTCTATGTCCCGTTTTCTGATATATAAAGACTTGTTGAGTTTGTAATTCTAATATCAGTTCTCAATTTAGAAAATAGAAAACTAACAATTTTTTTTATAATTCTCTGAAAACAAACAAAAAAAACTTTGCTTGATTTAATTTTCTGAAATTTTAGTTATAAAAAATGTTTATCTGAAAACTATTTTCATAATTACGAGGCCCTAACTTTTTAAAATTTTTTTATTATTTTGATAGAGAATGAATTGACAAAATATTCACAATGAATCCACATGGACAACATTGAAGATGGAATATTCTTACAAAGTGTGTGTGCAACTATTTCGTGAATTGCAAGAACGCCTAGAAACTCGTCTAAATGAGGCCAACATGTTTTGTTAAATGCATGATGGAAAATTTAAGATTAAGATCTAAACCTAATCAAGGTAGGTTAATTAAGACATCCCACCTAGGAAAAAAAAAAATTTAATACTCCATATTGGACAAACTAGACGGCATTAAATAAAATTATATAGCTGACTTCCATCATGTTTATATCAACGTAGCAACAACATTACCTTAGGTGCCGCCGTTGTTGCTGACAGTTGAATTATTTTGAGTGATGACCAAAGTAAAAAACATCTTACTGTTATACTGAATAATGACGTCATCGTAATATCAGACCTCATTCTTTATTCATATAAAAAATTCGGACGTATAAGATTATTAAATTATTAATTATTTTCTTATTCTTTTTTATTTTTCTTTATTGAAGGCACAAATTCATATCCAAAAATAAAGATAAGAAAAAAATAAATAAATAAAATGTTCACATCAATAATGGTAGGATAAAATTTTAAATGCATTTTATGTTCTTTTCTCTGGGAAGTAAAAACTGGAAGTAAAAACAGGGGACACTAAGGGAGATGATTTGATATAGGGAAGAACAGGGAATAAAATTAATGAATGAGGTCGATCATATCTCATTCTTCAAGAGAGTGAAAATAAGAAACAAATCACAATTTCACTATATATATATATAATATATATATACATTTCAAAAGCTTATAAAAATATTTTCTATATATATATATTCATTATCTTCTTCCCTTTCCAGCGTTTGCATCAATTGAAATTTCATTGTTTGTACCGAAGAAGTAACCTAAGCAATCTCTCCTGTGACGAGGATATGATAAGTAGGAAATATGTACACAAACAATTGATCTTACAATAAAAAAGCATACTTTTTCCCTTGAGCACAAAGGTACGCACACAACACACTCGTATGACTGTTAAAATTGTGGATTTTTTTTACTTTTTATTTTTCTTTGACAAACTAGTGAAGAAAGATTTGAACCCGAATCTATCCACTGACAGCTGTATAATACCTTTTAAAATTGTGTAATTTGATGTGTTTGAATTATTTGTGTTACGGGTAAACATTGATATCAATAAAGACGGAGTCTAATGTAGTGCAAAATTGCAAATTGTACTATATTGTTTGTTTTAAAAACATTACATCAGTACATCATTTATTTTAGAGTAAATTACACAGGACATTTTTTAGGTTATTAGGTTAGGTCATTTTTTTTTTTTTTTTCTTCTTCTTCTTTTTACAAACAAGAACTTCCCTGGGCAGGATCCATCCCAAGTTACAAATTTGTGCAACGTGCATCGGCCCCTCAACACGCGCAGCAGTCAATCGAGAGGAATAGATGACTTGGGAAGAGTCGAACACCGGCCATTTTAAACCTGCCTCCAAACTCCAACCATCACGGCTATGCCCCGATGACAGGTTAAGTCATTTTGTAAATAAAAGAATATTTTAACTTTCGCTTAAACTTCAATTTAGTCTTTGGCCTCAAAGACATGCGAATTGACTCTTTTATCTTCAAATTTTAATACAAAATATTTTTAATATTAAATGACAAGACCCCTATATATATATATATATAGATATAGATATTTGTACTGGCCCAAACGATCACTGATCATCAGGCTCCGCCGCGGCAGACGGCTATCGTTCTGAACCAAGCAAGTGGAACAGCTACAAATTTTAACCAAATTAAATCAGTCATATATATGTAGATTTATAGCACATGTTTGATTTATTTTGTATTAAATTCATATTTCATATCCTCTATCTTTAACATTTTGCTTGGTTTTTTCATTTAGGTATAGAATCAATAGATTTTTTTTTTTTTTTTTCCTTTTCTGTTTTCTTTTACTTGTCCCTGTACTTCCTTCCAGAATTTCACTTTCCATGTGTTTTTCTCATCTGGGTTTTGTGATTGGAAGCTCTGTTCACACTTTTCTATTTAATTGTCGTCGTACATCACAGCGGCCGTTTCGACTCGCTTGGGGATGATGATGGTCGATTGGAGGAGGAGGAGGAAAAAGAAGAAAGGCGTATATTGGGGTAGTTTGGTTACAAAAATAGTTAATATGATGTCAAAGAAAGCAACATAGTCATTTAACAATTTAAAAGTACTACGACTTAACAAAAAAATTGACATTTGGAATATTAGTGAAATGATAAATTACTAATTTAAATATAAGTAAAATTTAAAAATAAAATAATAATCAACTGCAATAAGTGTTAGTGTAATTTGCCCTTTATTTTATGTCAACTTCTCTTCCAGAAAAATATTGACTTAGTTGTGATGAAACACACAGGTGATTTCCATTGTTTATAAGTGAGGTGAGAGAGAAAGAATGACATTGGCGAGGTGGTATACAGAAATTCAAGCACCATTAATGCGGTAGGTGTTAGCATTTATCTATTTAAAGTAATAAAATAAAAATGGTCGCTCTTTTTTTTATTTAATTTTATATGCCTAAACAGTTTCAAATCAGTTAAGGCTATAAATAATATTGATCAAACCATACAATATCCCTTCAATTTGATCAACTTTTTTCATTGGCATATTCTTTAATATAAATTTTTGCATGGTACTTTACGTTGCATATTTGACACCTTTACTTTAGAAAAATAACCTGTGGTGTTACACTTTGAAAAAGTAGAATCAAATAAAATCATTTTCTTAGTTGAATATATATAATAAGTGAGTTTTTGTAGTTTTAATTTTAGAGTTTGAATTCTCTACACCCGCTATATTATCTATGAAACTTGAACTCTTCATCATCTATATTTTATGAGGCAACGAAATATCATATATTTGGTAATTTAAGTGTAGCAAATATATATAAAATGGTGGCAAAGTATTAATTTTATTGAAAATTAGTGACACAAGCCTTACGTTTTCATTGACATCACTGATCTTGTTAGCACGCCCGGCTACAATTCTATCTCCCTATTCAGAAGTCGCCAGTCTCCTTCCACAGCGTCCACCATTATTGTATGTATAAAGTCTTGTCTATACATACTTGTCATGTGTATCTATATCTATCTATCTATCTATATATAAATATATTTTAAGTGTATATTGTATACAAACTCAGGTTTCAAGTCCCGCAGTACACACCAAACACAAAACTCTATAAAACCCACTACTCCATAAACGTCTCTCCTCAATTATATAGCTCCAATTATTCAATCAGTCAAGCTTACTCAATATCATGGAACAAACACCCCATATAGCGATTCTACCGAGTCCAGGGATGGGTCACCTCATCCCACTCGTTGCTTTCGCCAAACGACTCGTCCTCCACCATCGATTCAACGTCGACTTCGTCGTCCCCACCGACGGTCCTCCCTCCAATTCCCAGAAAGCTTTTCTCGAAGGCCTCCCCGCCGGAATGGACTACGTTTTGCTTCCTCCGGTGGACATGGACGACCTACCAGAAGATGTTCGGGCCGAGACCCGAATAGCCCTTACGGTGACCCGATCCCTTCCTTCTCTTCGCGACGTGTTCAAGTCATTGGTCTCCACGACCCGGCTGGTCGCTTTGGTCGTTGATCTCTTCGCCACTGATGGATTCGATGTTGCTATCGAATTCAATGTCTCGCCGTACATCTTCTTCCCGTCGACGGCCATGGTTCTGTCATTGTTCCTTTATTTGCCCAAGCTTGATCAGTCGGTGTCTTGTGAGTACAGAGACGTGCCCGACCCGATTCAGATTCCGGGTTGCACGCCGATTCACGGGAGGGAACTCCTGGACCCGGTTCAGGACAGGAAGAATGATGCATACAAGTGGGTGCTTCACCATGCAAAGAAGTATAGACTGGCCGAGGGTATTATGGTAAATAGCTTCAAGGAGTTGGAGGCAGGAGCTATAGAAGTGTTGCTGGAGGAGGAAGCCGGTAAGCCACCTGTTTACCCGATTGGGCCGGTCATACAGATGGGTTCTTCTAGCGGTGGGGTTGATGGGTCGGAGTGTGTGAGATGGTTGGATGATCAGCCACGTGGCTCTGTCGTTTACATCTCCTTTGGGAGTGGTGGGACACTCACTCATGATCAGCTGAATGAGCTAGCCTTGGGGTTGGAAATGAGTGAGCAAAGATTCTTATGGGTTGTTAGAAGTCCAAATGATAATGCCAACGCTAATTTTTTCGATGCCCAAAGTCAGAAAGACCCTTTTGATTTTCTACCAAAAGGGTTCTTAGACCGGACCAAAGGCTGTGGTCTAGTGATACCTTCTTGGGCACCCCAAGCCCAAATTCTTAGTCACGACTCGACCGGAGGGTTTCTAACTCATTGCGGTTGGAACTCGGTTCTTGAGAGTGTGGTTTATGGTGTACCATTGATTGCGTGGCCGCTCTATGCAGAGCAAAAGATGAATGCAGTTATGTTAACGGAGGATATAAAAGTGGCATTGAGGCCAAAAGCTAATGAAAATGGGATAGTAGGAAGGGCAGAAATTGCAAAAGTTGTTAAAAGTCTGATGGAAGGAGAGGAAGGGAAGTGGCTTCGCTCCCGAATGCGAGATCTTAAGGATGCAGCTGCCAAAAACCTAAGTGAAGATGGCTCATCTACAAAAACACTTGCCGAGGTGGCTGCAAAGTGGAAGAATAAGATTAGTGTTTTAGATTAGGGTTTGTATTAAATCATTTTTCATTTTCTTTTTTTTTCTCTTCTCTTCTCTTCTCTTCTCTTCTCTTGCTGTAATATGTTTTGAGGAATCTTGTGCGCCTACCACTATAGAAATGATATCCTTTTAATTTATTAGAAGTTTGTTCCCCTGCCCTACGCTGGGCCATTAAATAAATTTTTTAAATATATAAAACATATGAAATTTAAATTATTAAATTTTTTTTTTTCCTTGAAGAAATTTTAAATTATTAAATAAGTTTTGGACAAGAATCTTAGAAGAAATTGCTAGACTCCATATTGTAGGGCCAAATTAATATGAAAATGGAACAAACTTGATATTCGATGCTTCAGGTTCGTGCCCATCACCGTCTCAAAGCAGGGGTCACAGCTGGACACATTTACATTTGGGTGAGAAAAATGTGGAGCTGGACACATTTACATTTGGTGAGAAAAATGTGGACTTGTTTGCTAACTTGCGCTAGGGAGGAGGAAGAAGAAGGTAATAAGCTCATGCAAGTGCAAGTCTAGGGATGACAACGGGGCGGGTTTGGATCGGGTTTCCCTAAATCCCGCCCCACCCCTTTTAATTTTTGTCAAGTCCATACCCGCCCCGGATCCGCGACGGGTTGGATTTTCATATTCAACCCCGCCCCGTTAGGAAATACTCTACCCCGTGCCCGCCCCAATAACAAATTTTTTTCTCCCACTTTTTGGAACTTAAACTCCTGCTATTTAAATGTGCAAAGCCTAGGAATGACACAATATAAATAAAATTATGTATCCTAATAAAAAAAAAAAAAAATAACATGCACATAACATAATTCAGAGAACATAATAAACAAAAATAAAAGTTTAATACAACCAAATCACAAAAAGTTCTAAGCTCCAACTTCCACCATAACCAAAACAAAAGTAAATTTAATATCAAATTTACATCCCAAATTAGGATTGTAAGAGATGGGTAATTGGGTAAGCCGCTAAAATAACTTATTAATATATATATATATAGATATATATTAAATATAGTTATATGCGGGGCGGGGCGGGGCCCATAGGATATGTATATTGAACCCTTACCCGCCCCGTGACCCTCGACGGATACAAAATTTGTATCCATGTCCGCCCCAATGATATAACAAGTGTTCCCATATCCGTTATTAAAGGGGCGGGACGGGACGAGGCCTCGGCGGAGCGGTAAAAATTGACATCCCTATGCAAGTCCTAACAAATTTCACCAAATTCTAATTTCTGAAGACAGCCCACAACTTTTGGATTTCAATTTAAAATTGAGCTCTTTAAGAAAAATCCCAGACATGATAAATGGAGTTAAATAATTTTTGTAAATAATATTAACAATTAAATTTAGAAACTGAATTTGTTTAATTGTAATCAATATGATCATTAATAGATCTCAAAGAGTCCTATTTGATCTTTCCCACCTTGTGAACAAAAATACAGTAAATTATTTGGACAGGACAGAAAGGTTAATAAATAAAACAACACAAGTAAGAACAACATTGGATGAAGATAGAATATTATTAAAAAGTGTGTGCAACTTTTTGGTGAATTACAAGAACACCTAGAAACTGTTTAAATAAGACCAATATGTTTTGTTGAATGCCTGGTCTTTGAATTATTTATAAAATATAATAAATTATTAAGATCTCAACCTAATTAAGGTAGGCTAGCTAAGACAGCCCACCTTAATTACTTATATAATATATATATATATATATATATATATATATATATATTTATCAACTGCGACGTCTTCAATTATGCAATTGGTATCATGTTAACAACCAAAAAAAAAAAAAATACAATTGGTATCTTCATCTTAATTAGCCACCATAATATTGGACAGATCGAACCCTATTAACTACAACTATAAAGGTAACTTTCTATATCATGATATCGTCATTAGATATTACACTTTATATATTTATATTAATGAAGAATTACATGATGATTTTATTTTTTACTCACATAAAAAGAAAAAAAGTTTTTATTGTAAATATGATAAATTGATAACATGCAAACGAACAAATTAATCTTACTGTCAATGCATACTTGTTTCGTGAGCACAAACACAGCACACATATACGATTTTTGTTTTTTTTTTCTTTTTTTGAAATTTTAAGCAACTGAAACTGGTATTGTTAAGATTGTGAAATTTAAGCAACCAAACACAACACGCATGTACGATTGTTGAGGTTGTGGAATTTGATGCGTTTGAATTTGTGCTACTGGTAAACATTGATCTATCAGACAGAGACTTGTCTGGTTGCAAATTGTATATTGTTTGTTTTATAAACATCACATCTTTTCAAGTTGATCATTTTATTTTACGTCTGCTTCTCTTCCAACAAAATCTTGACTTTGTTTGAGAGTCACAGGCGATCAAGCCTCATAAATAATCACCTCAAAATACTTTTTATTGCATCATTATATTTTGCAATTAAATTAATTCCGTGATAAGGATTCGGTCTTGTACCATCACTCTTTAATTATTTTTCAAATAAGCCTAACACAATCTTAATGAGAATGTTTAATTAAGAATTGGTTAATTAGAGAATTTGGTCCATTTTAGTCGGCATTGCAGTTGAGAGACACGTCAGTTGTGTACTAGAAAGGACATCAGGATGATAATTAGATTAAGATAAATATTCCATGAGAATTAAATTGGTCCATTTTTTTGTGGCATTGCACTTGAGACACAAGGTTGGTTATCTTCTTGATGTCCTTTCTACACAACCCCTCTCTCTCTCTCTCTCTCTCTCTCTCTCTCTCTCTATATATATATATATATATATATGTAACATGTGTACAGAAATGATCTTTTACTCATGGATGAACAAAGAATTTATTAACACAAAGCATGATAATTGTTGAATATGATTAACATTATTTTTTCGATAATTTTTTTTTTTCTTAACTGATAATCATTTTTTTCACACTTAAATCATTTCTAACGACCACCATGTTCAAGGCGAATTTAGAAATTGTTAATAGGGGGGCTAATATTAAATAAGGGGGAATTGGGGATCGAAAGATTAAAGAGTTGAAATTTTTTAAAGGAAATAGGGTTAGACTTTAGAAGGAGAGAAGGAGTGAACTCTCTGATTTGTACAAGATTAGGAATTTAGGAGTTTTCTTTGTTTTGGTTTAGTGATTGTTTAAGACTTGTTTGGCTTGGGCCTATTTGGTTGGGCCTTTGTTTTAAAATTGTGGTTTAGATATTGAACTTTTTTGGATGGGTTAAAATTGAGGGATTAATACTACTACTAATTTTTTCTTTTTTAAAATATTGGGCTAAATGTACCTATACTTAAAAAATAATAAATAATAATTTTTTTTTTTTTTTGTGGGGTGGGCTGATCATGTTTGATGCGAAAAAAGTTTATTGTTTGAGTAAGAAATCATTATTATATATGTGCATATGCATGTGTGTGTTTATACATGAAGTTTATTTAATGTAAAAAAAAAAAAATTAGTACATAAGACTATGTCATTAGGAGATTTGAAAAGAATTTATTGTACACGAACTTATCTCACCATGCAATAAGACAATTTGACAAATAATGCCTTTAGTTCACAATATAAAATTATAAAAAAGTGTTCATAAGTTATGATATACGGAATGTATGTGTAAAAGAAAAAGACACTATATATGTAAAACATAAAATAAATAAAATAAAAAAAGAGCAAAAAATGTCAAGCAAACTCACGTACTCAAGCTCCAACTCTCAACCTCTACTTGAGAGAGGTAGGTTTGTACCATGTGATTAATTTGGTTTAGATTATCTTCCTTGGTTTATGGATGGGCTTGACATTGTTTTCGGACTCTCTCATGATTTTATTTCTATCCACTCTTTCATCGTCCATTTCAATGTTCTCACGATAAGTTTTCTGAGTGGTAGTTGACATTTAACTCTCAAGCCATAAAACCCTATTCAACAAGAAAGCCAGACTTTTTACCATATTCCTTCAAAACTTCACATTTTCTCTCTTCATTTTCCACGGAAAATTTTAATTTCCTTCATTGGTATAACGTCTACCCATTTTACGTCACATTTGATCACACTTTGTATCTAAATTTGAAAAAACTTAAGTCACTTTGTATGTATGGTCTCTAATTTTCACAATTTGTTTATGACATATCATTTGAACAAAATTGTTTTATATCATTTAACTCTCTTTGAGTGCAAATAACCTTTTGGGACTATGCTTATAAGTGGAAGTTGGAATTTTATTCTACCTGTAGACAGTGACGGAGCTAGAATTTCAAGTGAGAGGGGCACGCTGCCACGAAAAAAAATATATGGAGTGTGTATATATATATATAATATAACAACTATAAAATTCAAAAGACAAAGAAGAAGAAAATTATTCAAATATGCACCTAAAGAGAAGAATTTTAAGAGTAGAAGTAGAAAAATAAACAGGAAAAAAAAATGAGAGAACTTTAAAAGGAAAAAGTTAAAAAGTTTCAATTGAGGAAGGAAAGAAAAATGAGAGAACTTTTAAAAATTAAAAAGTTAAAGAATTTGAAGAGAGAGAAAAAAAAAAAGATATATAATTTTAAAAACTACAAAATTAGGGGGACACTGTATAATTTATACCACAACCCAAGAGAGGCATGGCCCCCACCCCCAATTGGCTTCCTCTCCGCCTGTAGAAGTGGTGTATTCCATAATCTACAATAAATAAGTAGGGGAAAAAATTCCAAATATTCCAGGTTACTGAAAAACTATATATATATATAGTTTTCTGTCACATTCGCACGATGGTATAACATATTTCAAAAGGAAAAGTGAGAAATTCAAGCACCATGTAAAATCCCATCTAACTGTGTTACCAAATAACATCATTTTCTTTAGTTTTTTTTTTTTTTTAACTGATTTTGTTTAGTCAAGGCAATGCCATAGAGGAACACTGTTAGAGGCACCAAACCAATATTTAACTTTTTTTCTTTCCTAATATTCCAAGTGCCACCACAGAAGATAATAGGCCAAAGAGATATAGGAAGTTCCTCATGCCCTTTATGATTTGAAGTGTGAGTCAGTGGGACACAACAACTTAAGGCTCACCAGGAATTCGGTTCCCTTGGGCCCATATTAATTTCCTGTGTACCAATATATATACACACATATGGTGGCCCAAGTTATTGCATTGGAAATTATTGACACAACCTTCCGAAAAAAAAAAAATTATTGACACAAGCCTTACGTTTTCATTGACATCACTAATCATGTTTGCACACCAGCTACAATTCTCTCTCCCTATCTAGAAATCACCGGTCTCCTTCTACAGCCTCCCACCATTATTGTATGTGTGTATATATACACACACATACACACTTATATATATATATATATATATATATATATATATATATCATTCAGTGTATATTGTATACAAACTCAGGCACATGCGTTTGAATATTCATCAACCACACAAGGCCTCCACTACACAACAAACACAAAAGCTCTCAGCCTCACAACTATAATAACAGCAACAATTGCAAACACCACAACTCTATACAAAACCCACCACTCTATACACAACTCTCATCAATTATATAGCAAAATTAATCACTCAAGCTTACCCAATACCATGGAACAAACACCCCATATAGCGATTCTACCGAGTCCAGGGATGGGTCACCTCATCCCACTCGTTGCTTTCGCCAAGCGACTCGTCCTCCTCCACCGCTTCAGCGTCACCTTCGTCGTCCCCACCGACGGTCCTCCCTCCACTTCCCAGAAAGCTTTTCTCGAAGGCCTCCCCGCCGGCATGGACTACGTTTTTCCTCCGGTGAACTTCGACGACCTACCGGGCGATGTTAAGATCGAGACCCGAATTTCTCTCACGGTGACCCGCTCACTTCCTTCTCTTCGTGATGTTTTCAAGTCATTGGTAGCCACGACCCGGTTGGTAGCTTTGGTCGTTGATCTCTTCGGCACTGATGGGTTTGATGTCGCTATCGAATTCAATATCTCGCCGTACATCTTCTTCCCGTCTACGGCCATGGCTCTGTCATTGTTCCTTTATTTGCCCAAGCTTGATCAGTCGGTGTCTTGTGAGTACAGAGACGTGCCCGACCCGATTCAGATTCCGGGTTGCACGCCGATTCACGGGAGGGTTCTCCTGGACCCGGTTCAGGAAAGAAAGAATGATGCATATAAATGGGTGCTTCATCATACAAAGAGGTATAGACTGGCCGAGGGTATTATGGTAAATAGCTTCAAGGAGTTGGAGCCTGGAGCTATAAAAGTGTTACAGGAGGAGGAACCCGGTAAGCCACCCGTTTACCCGATTGGACCTCTCATTCAGATGGGTTCTTCTATCAGTGGGGCTGATGGGTCAGATTGTTTGAAATGGTTGGATGATCAGCCACGTGGCTCTGTTTTGTTCATCTCCTTTGGGAGTGGTGGGACCCTCTCTTATGATCAGCTAAATGAGCTCGCCTTGGGGTTGGAAATGAGTGAGCAAAGATTCTTATGGGTCGTTAGAAGTCCAAATGATAAAGTTGCCAATGCCAATTTCTTCAATGCCCAAAGCCAAAACGACCCTTTTGATTTTCTACCAAAAGGGTTCTTAGACCGAACCAAACGCAATGGTCTAGTGGTACCTTCTTGGGCCCCCCAAGCTCAAATTCTTAGTCACGACTCGACGGGTGGGTTCTTAACCCATTGTGGTTGGAACTCGGTCCTCGAGGGTGTGATTTATGGTGTACCATTGATTGCGTGGCCGCTTTACGCAGAGCAAAAAATGAATGCAGTAATACTAACGGAGGATAGAAAAGTGGCATTGAGGCCAAAAACTAGTGAAAATGGGATAGTGGGAAGAGCAGAAATTGCAAAAGTTGTAAAAAGTCTAATGGAAGGAGAGGAAGGGAAGTGGATTCGCAATCGAATGCGAGACCTTAAGGATGCCGCTGCCAAAAACCTAAGTGAAGATGGCTCATCTACAAAAGCACTTGCTGAGGTGGCTGCAAAGTGGAAGAATAAAATTTTCTAATTAAGAATTATATTAAATTATATTTTCTTTCATCTCCTTTCTTTTCCTTTCTCCTGTCAGTCTTGTCATAATATGTATTGCAACTTTTACACTAGATTTGTGAATTTGTTTTGGATATTGAAGTTGGGTTTGGTCTTGTACAGCAATCATTTTCTATATATGTTCCTCTTTTTTCCTCTCTCTCATTACCATACTTTTCATATGATGATAGTAAAGTAAGTGGGTGAAGTGGGTGTGTATCCACAAAGAGGCCAATCAAGCTTGAGGGTAGGACCCAACTTGGGAGAAATTTAGTTAGCAACACAATAAAGTGGTGGGCACTACTTAACTTGAATGGAGTAGGTGGCTACCATTGACATAAGACTAAATTTAGGATTAGTGCATAAATAATTAAATAAATAAATGTAATTAGTTGAAGATGGTGAATTACTATCAATAAATAGGTAACCTATCAATTTAGTCTTAAAATTTTATGATAGATCTCTCATATCATAAATAATCACTTTATTTTTAAGCTCTTAAAAATTTGATTTTTTTAAAACTGTAGCACACAAATTTTTTTTAAACATTCAAATTTTGGATTATGTATTTTAATGGGGAATAAAACTCGAGAATGGTAGATGAAAGAAAAATAAAAAGGAAATGAACTGCAATTCTTAAGAGAATAAATAACTTTGCCTGTTCATGCATTCAATAATAATAAATAAATAAAACAAAAAAAGAGGTAAGAACCGCAAATGGGAAAAGAATCATCTCAAGTTATGCTAAATTACTAAAATATTCTTATACATTCAAAAAAATGGTTTACTAAGACTTTCAGCCTTTTGGGTGAGTGTTAATATAATATTTCTTCAATGTGACTTTTGTCGACAACAAAAAAATTATTTATAGCAAAGAATAAATTACTAAAAAAAAACTAAATTTCTTTAATTGATGAGGAAATTTTTATATAGATTCTATTTAATGGAAATGGAACCTCCTTTATTATAAATTGAAACGACATAAATGGGAAAAGAAGATTGATGATAAGCTTTGTTTTTGTACTTGAAGCTAAACTTAACTCATCCATGTGGATTGAATTCTACTTTTTATTTTATTTTTTATATTTGTTTTAGCCACTGATATTTTCTAGAGAAGGTAAGTTCAATAATGGAGCACAGTCAAAATCATTCAATTCTGACTTCAAAAAATCGTCGAGTCATATTTTTACTAGTGTTCTGTAGGTTGATCAATCAATTTATGCTTTACAATATTTGTCCGTCTAGCCAGGATATATATATATATATATATATGCTTACCAAAGCATAGCGTAGCATCACCTGCTCTTCACATGTTTGACAGGAGTTCGTGGGTGCACGATAAGTCTTATGTGTACGTACGTGTATGTGTGGGACTGTGGAGTATGATTAGTCATCATCTCGTCTTTGTGGGACAAAGGTACCACCTACAGTACTATTACTGTGTTCTGTTTTATAGTCATCTCATAAGAGAAATCGAAGTCCAATTATGTTGCTTTCTTCATTTGATAATCATCATGAAAAACAAGGAACAAGTAACAGGTCTATTAGAGAATTGCTACATATATTTTCATTTATTTCTATAATTTACAAAGACTCCTTGTTTCATAGTTGACATTTGGGACTCTAATTATAACATTTTATTAAAGCAGTGTATTGACTTTAAATTTTGTAACCCTGGTAGGTTATTGAGAAATTTAATAAAAGGACTAATTGAGTGTAGGAGATTTTTGTCTATATAATTTGGAGAGAGAACCTTACTTTTGCATAGAAAGAAAGTCGTCGTCTTCAATATAAACAGTCTTATCTCTGTATAAAAAAATATATTTTTATTTTTAAAAAATGTGATATTAGTATCGAACCGATCGGTTTTATTGTGAATATGAGGGGTCACCCCGATAAATAGGCGACTATCCAAATCATTGGTACTCCCTAAATTTTTTACAAATCGACTATTTTGGCGAACCATGATTTGATTGATATATTTTAGTTTAAAAAATCTAAAATCACTTAATATTTAGTCAAAGTTTATCTTAAGTCATACAATTCTTCTTAATAGATATTGCTCTCACGTTTTGAACACACTCCCACTCTCACGCTCCGCGCGCGCTCTAAATTAAATTCTCACTAGTTATAATTTAATTCTACCGCTTTTATGCTCCCGCTCTCAAATTCGCCTCCGTTTTTTGTCTACCGCTCTTATAGAAGTGTGTACCTTAATAAAGAAGGATATATGTATAATTATGTATATATAACATTAAATTATAAATTCGATAAAAATATTCAAAATTCTAGAACAATGTCTGAAATGAACTCACTAAGAAATAATTGGATGGGACAAAGCCAGAGTTAGTTTAGTGTTTAATGTATGGACTTCCTTGCGTTAATTTATTTTCTTCCAATAAACACAACAACTCACATCAATGTCGTCAATTTTTTAAACACTGTATATTACAACAAGGTTACAGCACATTGTATGCTATTTTCTATGCATGAGGTCGAGACCAACAATGATATATATTATTAATTTGAATTTGAGTCATATATATATATATATATATATATATATATATATATATAATCATAATCTAAATTACATAAAGCGAGAACATGAATGTAAATACGAGCGAATTTGAGAACGGAGTGTGAGAACAATAAAATTAATTTATAATCAGTGAGAATTTGAACATGCGCGAAGTATAAGAACGAAACACGTTCAAAATGTAAGAGCGACACTTATTTAAAAAAATTATGTGAATTCGTTCATAACTCATAGTCCCGAAACTAAACTAAATTTGACCAAATTTGTTCACTCATGACCCATCAAAACAATATCAAACAACACGCAGCAAAATTTTGAGCATAAACCATACTTTTTGCAGTCAACGTAAGAATGGTTCAAAATTTACATACCAAGTATATTCCAAGTAGAGGTGATTCCTATAAAGTTTTGTCGTTTCTAATTTTAAGTTGTGACTCATCACCTACCACTTAGTCCATTCTATCGGATCATATATATGAATCATATGATATTGACTTCCAATGACAACCACAAAAACAAAATTGAAAATCCTGCACCAGTCCATTGATTCAAAATGCTAAAAATAAAATTTTCATTAAATTAAATATAATCTACTTATCAAAGTAATTAAAAAAAGTTAAATATAATCTAAGGTACAGAAAAATCTCCTGATATTATTAATACACACTTTAACAACAACAATTGAATTGAGCTAGATTTACCTAAATATCATGATTGAAAAAATTCAAGGAAAAAAATAAACTAAATAATTACTTTAGCTTAAAAAATAAATAAATAGGAAAGGTGAATGAACAGAAAAGAATTAGTACTGAATGATTCTTTGAAGATCCGTAGTTGAAAAGTTAAGAGTAAAGTTTAAAACATCATTTTCAAAAAGGTAAGAGTTATGTCATCATTTTCATCTAGAAGAGTGTTTATGACATTATGTGTGATGTCTTTTTCTTTTGGCCAATTAGACTTGTATTATTACACCACTTGTGAGGTCAAAAGATGTGAATGATTAATATACGTTGTGCTTTTTAAAATTAATTATGTACTGTATTTTCTTAATCTTATCCACTTTTTAATTTTTAACCTTCATCATTTCTTCTTTTCTTGTGTCTTCCAAAAACACAACCTTTTAATATTAACTACTAGTGCTACATAAATTGTGGGATTTGAGTGGGGTGAACATTTTAAGTTAAAAACTTTAAATTTCACAAAATAATTTCTTTTCCTTTCACTTTCACTTTCACTACAATGGACACTTGAAATCTTTTGTATTAGGTTGGGATCAATATATTACACCTTGATTAAGAAATTGTTGGATTTGATACATAACCCCATAATTGTACCCTTTTTTTTTATAATAGAAATTGTTCATAACCTAACAAAGCATCAAAAGCTTACAAAAACTTAACGTGGCCCTCTAAAATTGAAAAGGAAATGAAGGGAAATGACATTGATTAATAATTATTCATTTTACTCCTAAGAGCATAAAAAAATAAAATAAATAAACATAAATGTCCCTTTGTAGGATCACCATTTAAAAAAAAAAAAAAAAAAAAAAAAAAAATTCGATCTCAATTATTGATTGTCACATCAATTATTTTAAAAAATTAATATCAAATTTGTTATTATTTTTTTTTTCCTTTTTTTTTAGTTCACTCGGGGTGTCCGGAATGGCACGAACCTTGAGAGTCCCTCAACAACCCGACTAATCCCCGAAGATTCAGAAGGTCACCCCCCCACCCCGGTCGGGTAAGTTACTGTAGGGATAGCGGAAGTTAGCCACAAAGAACAACCAGTGAAACTCAAATCCTCAAACCTTAGACTTGCTAAATTTCAAAATTCAGCGTAAAAATTATTATTTTCTCTGTTTAAGAAGCACATTTTATTTTATGTTTGTCGACAGTGAAATCAAACAACTTTTTTTTTCTTTCCATTTCCTCTCATTATAGTCCCCCAAAGAAGAATCTTTTGGGGTCTATAAACTTCCAAACGAGAGGGATTGATTGACCCACTCTCACTCTCACTCTCACATTTTCTTTTTGTCTCATCAAGAATTCAAGCTCTTAACCTTTATATCTTTTATATTTCTTCCTAAATCTCCCAAACAAAAGTGTAGGACAATGTGAAATGCATGTTTTGTATATTGTCTATGGACCACCAAGAAAACTTCCAAACGAGAGGGATTGATTTTTGAGTTTTGCCGACACTTGTGTTAATGTATGCAACTACTATGTCAAAATTTTCATTCTCTTGGAATCACTACTGTAACAAGCAATCCTCTTGTACTATTCAATATATGTGATTTATGTATAATTATTTGCGTATATAAGGTTAATTTTGAAAATGGTTGGAAACAACTAGATGGAAAAAAAGCTCTTATTGTAAATGAGATACATTGATCATATCGAAGGACTAACAATAATTAAATAGCACATTTTTTTGTAAGAAATTTGAATTATCACGAGCTTAGTTCTATTGATTTTTTCTCTACTTTTCAAATTGAAGGTTTAACCTTTAGTCTTTCAAGTCTTTGTAAGAGATATTTGTGAGTTTATATGGATGTGTTGTTTATATACAAAAATAAATAAATAAAAATAAGAAAAACTTAACTTGAATTGCTTGTGAATTTTGAGTTTGTTTAGATTATTCAAAGTAGAATCAGGAGGTTTCAAGCAGCATGTGGCGGCAATAAGTAAGAATCTAAAAGCAGGCTTGGACTTGAAATTAAGCCCATTGGCCCAGACTTGTTATAGTTGGTTAATATGGGTTGGAAAACTTGGGTTTGGAATTGTGGACTGAATCGGCCCGAGTTACAGCCCTAGGCCCCATTAGGCAAGAGTTGATGAAGACCCGACGTCGTGTCTTCGAATGCCTTAAAAGCTGTCACACGGCGTCGTTCCCACACCACAAAGAACATAACATATACATACACAAACGAAATATACATGTATAGGCATTATTTGTGTTCCATTTTGATGATAAGAGAGTGAATGAAAAGAAAGGATGAGAAATTATAAAGTGAATTACATGGGATTGAAAAAACAAAAAATCGTTTCATGCAATTGCCAAAATTTATAGGATGAGAAATTATAATGTGAACTTTTATATTCAATACTAAACATGCATTTTAATTAGACTGAACCACAAGTGACTTATGTGGAAAACTATCTAATAATTAATTTATATATATATATATATATATAGAAAAAGAAAGAGACAAGTTTTTTTGAGCAGGCGAAATTAATGTCTCAAAGTAAATTGGATTGTCCATGAAAGAAAGAGAAATGTAGTAGCTAGAGAAGGAGGGAATTAGAAAAGGAAAGAGAAAAGGAAGAACAAATGGAATGAAGGAAGGAAGGGAGAGATATCTGAAATACAAAGATGGAAAAAGCATTAATACTGTAATTAAGTCTTGTTTTTAGGGTGCTGTAGTCATCATGTGTCTCATTAACCAAAACCTCTCTATTTCTTCCGCTTTCCGCCCTGGAATCCGTCCGGCTATCAATGCCCACCTGAACAATATTTCATCTCCATGCTTATAAGTCACATATATATATATATATATATATATATATATATCATACAAACCAATAAATAATTTCCTAAATAACATACTCTCGCGCACATACACACACAACACATATATATATATTAAATTGTCTCGCCAAATCTGTATTTTATATAAATTTTATAAATCAACTGTAATATGATTTTTTATAAATACTAGTTGTGTAGTATATATACTTTGAGAAAATTCAAAAATGAGAAAAATACAACTTAATAAGAGACGAAAATTTGAAATTAGAAAGGAAAATATAGAAAAAAAACGACGGATTACAATTTAAAAGAGAAGATATACAGAAATAAGTATTGTCAGATAATCAAATTTTCTTCATCAATTGTTTCAGTTTTTCAAAATCTAATTTTTAGAAGAAAATTTTCTGAGTACTTTGATTTCACTTGGAAAAAATATACCTAGATGAAAGATTAGAAAAAGATAATGAATTTTAACTATATAAAATAATTTTAAATTAAACAATAACTCAATAAAGATTATTATATAATTCTAGATCTTTTTTTGGTAGATATCACTGTACAAAAATATTTGACAAAAAATGCTTGAAGCTTTTTTATTAAACATGATGAAACATTAATGATTTTTATCCCTTTTTTTTTTTCTCTCTCACTCTCTTGTATTAATATTATAGATATTGTACATGGCCCTTGCAATACTGTCATTTTTTTAAAGTTTTATACCTTGCCGTTTATGGGAAAAAATTGGTAAAAGTAGATCATAACCTTTTCTTTATAAAGATGTTTGGTGCTTTCCATGGATCATGGAACGGATAATTTTTTACAGTGTGTGTTCTATTTTTACTTTTTAAAAAAACACAAAATAAATAACAAAAGAGATCAATTGTAAGATTAAAAAAGTATAATGTATAGTGATGGAACTCATGGAAGATTAAAGGGGCAAATAAAGAAGAAGAAGAAGAAAATAAAAATATATATATTAAATATTTCTCCATTATATTTCTTAAAATTTAAACCCCGAACCCCTCCTTTCCTTCTCTTTTTCCCTCTTGGCTTCCACCCCTCCATTATCTACCCAACATGAATTAGTTTTATGAACAAACAGTATACATTACTTTCCAAAAAATAGTTGAAAAAACAATTCTCTGAAATTCAAAAAAAAAAATTATTTTTAAAAAAATATAAAAGACACTTCTATGAAAAAATTTTTTTTTTTTAAACCGAGTTTTTAAAAAAATTAAAAATTTTAAATTTCCAGTTATCAAAAAACAGAAAATTGTTATAAAAAATTTGAAAGAAGTAATATATATTTCCTAAAGCGTGCAGTTCCCTTCTCTACAGTTTTGATAGCAGAAACATCCCTTCTCCTCTACCCTCTGCTGCTTCAAAACAAGTACTGTATATATTATGATGAGGGATATATATATATATGGGGTTGTTAGGTTTGTAATAATGTAAATACCTGTATGTATATATATATATATATATGGGGTTGTTAGGTTTGTAATAATGTAAATACCTGTCTCCAACAATCTTGTACATCCTATATACGAGATCCTCTTCTTGTTTGCTCATTTTTATCAACTCCCATGCAATACTGCTCACCTCTGCCAAATACATCATACAACAACACACAAACCACATCATATATTTATACACACACACACACACAGACACACGTACACAAAGATAAAAATAAATGAAGGAAATCAAACTGATATATATATATATATAGATATAGATATAGATAACCTTGAGAGCAACAACAATTTTGTGGCTTTGGTTGCTTGCGGCAATGTGTGTCCATGGTGATGTATAGATGTTTATTAATGAAAACTCAAAGTTGAGATATGAAGATAGAAAAACACAAGAGGAGAAGTTGTGGGTGAGAATGGGAAGATTATTATGTGCAGCGTTCGAATTAATACCAATTATTGCATCTCAAAGGTGGAAGAGTGATCCACGTGGTTTATATAAATTCAGATAGTAGTAAATAAAAACATGCTACCATTGTATACATTTAATTGAGCGAGGTCTTGGTTTTAGATCCATAGATAAAGTAATAGCCAAAAAAGTATTCATGTAAAGCCAATACTAAATAAATTAAATAGAGCTAAGCATTGAGTGGTAATGGTTTTTAGAGATTAGCAATAAACCTTCTTTTCTTTTCTTTTTTCTTTTTTTATTTCTGATTTTTATTTTTATTTTGGGGGTGACAGACACCCAATAACTGTTAACGACAATAAAAAAATGACTAATATATATATCCATGAACGTACCATATGAATTAGTTCGTCATGCCAAATGTCACATTTGAAGTCCGAATAAAAAATCAGATGTATATTCGATATCAGAGTTCATTTATAGCACTTAAGTAGAAAATTAGATTGATTATGCAGAGGTTGGTTTTCCAAAACCATAGAAACATAAAACATTGGTTAATATAGAACCTAGGTACGTAGGAAATTTAGTGTATTGGTAAAGAAAAAATGGTTGATTATATTATATGAAATCAAAGACAAAGAGAATATTATAAATCTGGATGGTTACCTAAACCGAGGGAATATTGGGAAGCTAAAAGATTGATCTTGTTTGGTTGTGACATTCAGTCGATCTGCTGCTATTCCATTTTCTACTTTTGTAATGTGACCACTTGTTTAGTAGTAGTAACTCTTTTTAGTCTGCTACTGGAGAACCCTTTGCAATGCCCATATATATATATATTAATGGCTTAATTATTGGGATACGTACTCTCTATCATAAACTTATAATATTAATTAAATTATAATTCATACTAAATAAATTGTCGCCTGAAGATTCCATCTCATGGATATAAGTAATATATAAATCAAATAAATAAATTAATCCCGCCATACTCTCTATCAATTACCATGTATAATATTAAATTGTCATTAATAAATACATTGTCATAAATAAGTAAAAATGTGAAAGAGAGAATTTTTAAATCAACCATGCATCTCATGCATAGAATATAATATAATACATAAATCAACCTGAAGATTCGATGTCATGCATATAAGTAATATATAAATCAACGAAACACTAAATAACTTCATATATATAATGACAAAACTACTAAGCATACAGTCATATATATGTGTATATATATATTAAATTGTCATGAGTCTAGGAACCTACCACTTTGGCCCAAGCGTTACGGATCCTGCTACTCTAAGTTGGGGAGCCCCACACCAGCCCACATGGAGGAGCACGAATATCCGCGTAACGAAAAAAAAAAAGAAAAAAAAAAAAGAAAAAAGAAAAAAGAAAAAGGTACAGAAAATATAATTGAAGTTAATTTGGGAGAGTAAGAAGAGAACAAACTAGAATTCAATCAAAAAATAAAGTTCAAAATAAAACTCACTTCTTCATTATATTCACATCAAAAGTGTACTTGTTCTAATTTCCTGAAAATAATTATTAAAAATTCGAAAAAATTAATTATTAAGTAATTGTCTTTAATACGGACAGTTTTATGACAAATCTACTTGATACTTATATCATTAATGACATAACTAATGAATCTGGACTGAATGACACAACTATCAAATGTTTGCTATGACACCTAATGTTTGCTTAAAAAAAAAAACTATCCGATGTTAATGCAAGTTTGATCTTTTAGATTTTTCCAATATCTTACAATAGTTAATTCTCTCGACTATTGGACTATCGACTCACTGGCACTGAGCATGTGTGGACTTCACAATCTTTTTTTGTCTACGAGTATTGAATTTTTTTTTTTTTTTTTTTTTGGTGCCTCCGCCAGATAGGCTTTTCGAGCCCACACATGCGCAAAAGAGGACGGTGGTAATGTGGTACAGTCAAGGATAGAACAACGCCGTGTGGCAGTGGCAATCACAAAACGACGTCGGCTCTTTTCTGTTCTGTAAGTCAACTCGAGTTTTGCCTTTGGACCACCAGCACTCCTTCGGCATCTCACAGGTTCATTACTCTGTCGTAGATTTTACACACACACACACACATATATATATATATATATATATATATATATATTTATAAACACATATACACGCGAAATATACATGCATAGGCATTCTTTGAGTTCCATTTTGTTGCTTAGAAAGTGAATAAAATGAAATCATAAGAAATTGTAATGTAAAATTTTATATTCTTCAATACATGGGATCGAATAAACTCAAAATCAGTTTTATTTTATTTTATTTTATTTTTCTTTTACTAAATTTACAAGCATTCCATTTCAACATATGCTTCACTTAGAACTTTGAGATTTTCATTCCATTGTCAATTTAGGGCATCATTTAGAAACTAGTTGAATTTTGTAAAGGGTTGTATTAGGTATGCTTCATTTAATAGTTTGCTTGGTTATATTGGGAATGTGAATTGAAAGATTTAAAATAGACTTACGTTATATTTGGTAGCACTGAATTGGTGCCTTGTCTCCGGAATTAAAACAAATTTAGTTCAAATTATGTACTAAAAGTCTTCCAATCCTGAATCCAAAGTGCTGATTTGGTGCTGCCAAACATAGCATTAGGTTTATAGATTAACCAGTTGCAATAAAGGGGCATGGCATATGTGACAATCTTTTTCTAGTAAGAGGAACAAGTGCAATTGTTTTTAATCCAATAGTTGAAGTATTTAATATATACGCCTTAGTTGCACGAATCTGCTATACAAAAAACTCAAATCTAACTTGAGACAATTATTACACAAAAATTGTTTCATTTATTAAATAAAAAAGAAGGTTTTTAATTACAAATGTTAGCTCATAAGTTTTTAAGACACAAATGATAATTGCCCTCCTGTCAACCTATTACGTTTGAAATGATGGAACTATCTGATCATTAATTGGAATCATGAATACCTATCTCTATCTGAGCATTGTATTGAAGGTATGTATTTGTACTGGCAACATATAACTCACACACCTGCTTATGCACTTGAACTATTGTTTTTTATGCAGCAGGATTATGATTTTTGATATATATATATATATATATATATATATTCAGTAATAATCGGGTTGAAGGTGTGGACTAGGTTGGATAGTTTCGGACCAACCTGAATTAGATTTTGACCAATCCACCCTAACATTACCCTTTGCCAGATGTTATTTGCATCTGATATATAATTTTCATTTGCTTTGTACAGAAAAACTTACAATAACCAAAGACTACGATGTGTGTCCCTAGCTAACATCATTCTCATGTACGCATATAAGTAGAACTGTTTCTTAACAATTGTCGTTATTATTAGCTAGCTAATCTGACATTTAACATCTTGAATTGAAAAATTACGATAATAGAGTTAAAGCCACAATTGCTGCAGCAATTTCTTGCATCAGAGCGGGAACAGTGAAGCGACTCATCTATAGTAGTGCCTCTTTGGTTGCTGCATCTCCATTAAATGCTGATGGGACCAGGTACAAGGACTCCATGGATGAATCGTGTTGGACAGCTCTTCATCTTTTGCTTCCGTACAATAATGAGTTTCGAATGGTAATTTCTTGGTTTATCACCTGTTGCTATGTCCATTCCAAGTTCGAATTTGTTTTGTTGGGGTTGTATTGTTCCAGTTTCTAAAAATTAATGTGTTACCAAGGCACCTGTACTATCTACATTACATGTTTCTATAAATATGTTCTCTATAGTGTTTGTGTCTAAAACTTTATTTAATTGAAGGAGAATTCAATATGTCGGTTTTGGTTTAATATTATTTTGGTATATTTTTAAACATAAGTAAGTACTCCATTTTTATTTGATTACTTTTTTCTAACCGCTTTATCTTCTTTCTAAGTGCCCAAGGCATGGCCCTGATCAAATATTGGTTTAGGTCGTATGGTTATACAGAAGGCAAGTAAAGAGTAAGTACAGTTCAGTATTCCATTTTTTTTTTCAACCCGTCTTTTTTTTATAAAAAAAAAAAAAACACACCCAATATATGTATAGTTGACAACTTCTAATTAAATTCGCAAAGGCCGTAACTAATCTTAACTTCATTCCCATTCAGAAAGAAAATGTTTTCCACAAAAGAAGTCTTTTGATGCTAAGATATGTTAATTAACTACTCTTGACTTTATGTAATTATCATAGGACTACACAGAGGCCAAAACACATGGTGAAAAGGAATTGGAAATGATAAAATTGGTGGATTGGAGATGGTAACATTAGCTTGTGGCCTCGTGGGTGGGAATGCTAATATATCTTACACGCCCTCAAGTGTAATGGTGATCGTATTGTAGCTTAAAAAGAAACCATTAATTATGCTTTAGAATTTAGAATTGGATGAAATTAGTTAAAATCAGTCTCTAGATTAAGCCTACGTCCGCGGCTTAATGAGTATTATGGTTTATTACATTATTCTGGTGGTAATTAAGGTTTTTTTTTCCCGGTAAACAAAATTTTACTTTGAAGACTGGTGGTAATTAAAGTGGTTGTGAATATTGCCATTTGTGTTACATGATTGACTGAAAAAATGATTGACAAGGAGGCATTTTTAAGTTGGTGAGGTAAACACCTCTTCATCGCATCTCAGGATGGTGTGTTTTTTTAATCCAACTCTAGTGATTTAAGTGGCATGTTGAATGTTGGCGACTTTTATGGAGAAACACCTTTCTGATTCAGAGGATGTGCACTCTGAATATGACTGGTGGGTTTTGGTTGACTGGATGGCTTTATTGAACCTACTGGTCTGGCCTTATATCCCCATTTCTCAATCTAATACTAAAAGCATGAAAAAGCTTGTGTTGTCTTATTTGGGATTGAAACCTTTTTTTTATATTTTTGATTGGATTGTGATTGCAATCATCATGATATTGCTACTTGGGTACATTTGGTTCCATCTTTGAGATAGAAATATGTACACACCATGTTAGACTTGAGAATTAACTACAACTAGTTTTTCAAATCTTAGGAAGTACCATGTTTTGGAAGTGTGACCATGAAAACAGATATTCTTTACTGTGAATCCACCTTCCTTTATTAAAGACGATATTATTATTGTAGTCCTTTCACAGCTCAAAAACTCAGCAGCTCAGATGAATTTAAAGCTCTCTTACAAGTAGGTCTAGTAATGTGTCACTCTCATGGTTTTTGTTATAAAAATGGAAACTACCAATGTCAGCTTGTTTTATTTTTCTGTGCCATTGATAAATGCTCTAGTGAAAATAGTGCGAGGGCCATTTCTACTTCAGCTTGCACTGTTGGACAAAGATGTCCTTTCTTTATCCCAAATCAATGACATAAAGGCAATGGGAGAAATATTATAATACAAAGATATGGCTTATTGTAATGCTAATAGCCATTATCCTATTTTCTTCATCTTGTATTTCTTTTCATGGTGCTTTTTGTTTTTCTTTTCTTGAGTTGCTGACTTTGGTTTTTCTTTGAACCTGGTGGTTGTATTGTAGTGATTTTTTTTGAAAGATGTAACGTGTTGAAAAGTATATGTAATATATTTAAAAGTACATGTAAATTATTGAAAGAGTAATTGCTTACAAGATGGGACATCGATCCTCTCCAGAGGGCATATCGCTCCTTCTCTCTAGAACTAATCGGATGACTAATATTAAGACACGTCATTTGCCATCTCTCCCTCTTTTTCTCTCTCCTCTCTTTTTCTTGACATCAACCTCGGCGATTCCTTCTTTTGATTTCAATTATTTTGACTATAGTCTCCCTAGAAAGTTCATCAGCATCAATATCAACCTTCCTCCCTGGAAGTTGCCTGATCTCGTCGGAAAACATCGTTGCCAACTCATTCATCATTGACCAACGATATCATTGCCAACTCATTCATTGTTCTTTTTCTTTTTTGTTTCCAGACTTGAATCATTTTTTATTTTATTATTATTATTTTTTTATGTATATATGTGTGTATATATTACATTTATAACTCATCTCTTAAACCCGAGGCGGATAAGCAGAAGAACCCGGCGGCAGATTTCAGTAAGGGAAATTTAGGTATGCAAGTTACTGAAAAGGGGAGAGAGAAATTTGGTCTTCTCCTTGAGATTTAGAGAGGGAGAGAGAGAAGTGACAAATGACGTGTCTTAATATTAGTCCTTAGTCCTTAGATTAGTTCTGAAGAGGAGAGATGCCTTCAGGAGAGGATCCATGTCCTATAAGATGTCCCTTTAACGAGAAGAGCATATCTTCTTATTTAAGTGTTGGATTGGAATAGTTTTTTTGAAAACTTTCTCATGAGAAGTCGTCCTAGAGCATTACTTTGTGTTGAAAAGTGTACAAAACCAACCCTACAGGGAGGATTACATTGGCTTTCTTTTAATTAAATATCAGCTTACCTACCAAAAAAATAAATATTTACTTGACTTATAATAAATACAAGTTGAATGCGTGGGATATGAAAATTTATCAAATCCCCTCTATTTACATGGGAATGAATGTAGGTGAGAGCTAGAACATCAGAATCAAATGGGGATCTGTAGCTTAAAGCCTAATGAGAGGAACCCAGTAAATCTTATTAGAAACCTGTAATATAATGGAACACTTAATTTTATGTGGAAAAAATGGGTTTATTAAAGTTAAAATAAAATAAGAAATAATTTTTTTGTAAACTAATTAAATTAGCATCCATTAGAGATAAAAATGAATAAAAAGAACTCGAATTTATTATAAGTCAAGTAGATAATTTTTGGAAAACATATACTAATAAATAGTAAAATATATATATAATTTTTGAAAATTAAAAAAAATAAAAATAAAATTTTTATCTTGCTTCTTCTTTATTTTTATTTTATTTTCATATCATTTTTTAGAATGATAGTGACTGGACGCGCATATAAATAATAAGAAAATACGGAGTATATGATTTGGCAGCAGCATTTAATTGGAACTGAACACCACATAAGGTAACACAAAACTTTAGCTAATGCATGCCTTGGAACCATCATAAATGATGGATTGATGCTAAAGATACCCCCAAGTACTTCTCTTTTCCAGATTGAGTTTCCAATCATGTCTCCATCCATTTTTATTTCATGTCAAACCGTACATCTTAGATGGTTTCAATTAAAATTTTACAATTAAAATAGTGAATTCATCCGTGTTTAATAAAATATTACAAAAATAAAAAATAAAAAATGAGCATGCGTTTTGATTGGACTGCATCAAAATAAAATAAATTTTTTTTTTTGTACAACTGGACAAACAACTTACTTGTATCCAAGGCAATCTAATAATTTCTCTATATATATATACATACACACATATATGCATGTTCTGATTTTGAAAGAGAGAGAAGAGAGAAGTTTTGATGAGAGGAAAATAATGTCTCAACTAAATTCGATTGTCTCAACAAACCATGAAAGAAAGAGAAAGAGAAAGAGAAATAGAAATGTAGCAGTAGAGAAAGGAAGAAATGGAAGAGAAAGTTGAAATACAGTTGAAAAAAGCATTAATTAAGAAGAAATTAATTATGTGACACTTGTTTAACTCTTTTTACTCTGCTGCTAAACCCTTCGTTGTGTCTCATTAACCAAAACCTCTCTATTTCTTCCGCTTTCCGCCCTGGAATTCGTCCGGCTATCAATGCCCACCTGAATATTCCATCTCATCCATATAAGTCGTTATATATATAAATCAACAAAACAAATAAATCAATTCCTATATTTTTTGGCGTAATTGTCATTAATAAACAAATTGCAATACGCCTAGGATACCACTTTTCCCCCAAAGGTTACGTGTAGCTTCTTGACTTATTCTCCTTCTTCCTACTATTTTTTATTTTTATATTAGCAACTTACTATTCCCTAGACTTTACAAAGTGAGTGCATGAAAATAATATGTAACCCCCCACACAACAAAGGGTGAGATTGAGAGAGACACAGAGAGCTTATATGACGAATTAATATATATGTGTGTGTGTGTGTGTGTGTGAAGGCCCTAAGGCTATGCTTGGGAATTAATTGATAAAAGTAGATCATAAACCTTTTCTTTATGATGCTCCATTTTTAGTTAAAAAGCACAAAATAAAGAAGAGAAATGGGTCAATTTCATAAGATTAAAAAGTGGAATGTGGAGAGTGATGGTATTCGTTGAAGAGGAAAGGCAATAAATAAGGAAAGAAAGTTATATTAAACATTTGTCCGTTACATGACTTTTCAAATTTTAAAATTTAAAATTTGGAGACCAATCACGTATCTTCACTTGTTAATGCAACATAATACATCGTAGTACATGAGATACATAAAAAAAAAAATAAAAATAAAAAGTTGGTTACATGAATAATGTAATGTACTTATTGTATAAATTTGTTACCCTGCCCCCTCCTTTCCTTCTCCTTTTTCCTCCCTTCCTTTCTCTACCAAACATGAATTAATGAACAAACAGAGTATTCCAAAAGCAGAACACCAAAACTATTTCCTAAAGCAAAATCCAACCTTGTTTTATCTTCTCACAATTTTGATAGCAGAAAAGTGTTTTTATTTTTTATTTTTCACAAAACATGCAATTGATTCTGTGTTTCATTTTATAACAAGTATATATATATATGATGAGAGAGATGGGGTTTGTGATGAAATTACCTGTCTCCAACAAGCTTGTACATCCTGTAAATGAGATCCTCTTCTTGTTCACTCATTTTTATGAACTCCCATTCAATACTGCTCACCTCTGCCAAATACATCATACAAACAATATACAAACCACATTAGAACTATATAATCAACCAAAACCCACAAAGATAAAGAATAGAAATTAGCAGAGAAAAATGAAGAAAATCAAACTGATCTATATACATATATGTATATTACCTTCAGAGCAACAACAATTTTGTGGCTTTGGTTGCTTCCGGCGACGTCTGTCCATATTGATTAATCCAAAGTTGAGATATGAAGATAGAAGAAGATCAACAATTAAGAGAAACACCAGGAGAACTTGTGGGTGAGAATGGGAGGAAGATTGTCATGCAATAGTGTTTTTAGCCAAAAAGTAGTTTGGGAAAGAGACTCTATGGCTTAGCGATATATATATATATATAGATATACATGTATGTATATGTGTAGTAGTTAAATTTCTGTTTGATTCATAGAGAGAGAGAGAGAGAGGGAGAGAGAGGAGCTTGAAGGAAGAAATGGGATGGGAACTAATAAGATAGAACGGCTGGTCCTACCAAACAAACAAAATATTTTATGAGTTGACTTGTAGTTGTTACTTCTTGGCTACTTCCTTTTCATTTCATTTCAGTTTAATGCGGTCAATGACAACCCTCCTCTGTTCAGAGCCTATATTTTTATCCACTCTCTATGTATAAAAACTACTGTACTCATATTATCCAATTAATTTAAAGCAGAGGTTATTGGACCCTTTTGTCACAGGGGATTCAAGTCCTTCCAATGTAATGGATTCGTTTATTAAATTACAATTCACAAATGTGGTCCAATTTAATTTTAAAATACATTGAAAAAATAAAAACCTACAAATAGTAGTAATTATAATTTTCAACTACTTTGTCCTTACCGAAGAAGATCCATTACATGCTTTTCAAATATTGTGCCAGAGTATTTAATACGGAGTGAAAGATGGTAAAAACCTTCCGACCTTTTCCACTTCTTTATCTTAGGGTCTATTTTGTTTGAAAGAAATGGAAAGGGCTAAAAATAAAAATAAAAAAAATAAAACATAGATATTGTTTTTTTTTTTTTTTTAATGTTTGGTATAAGATTTTGGATAAAAAAAGAAACATAATGGGAAGATTTGGATGGATACATTAGGGCTTGTTTGGAAAGTGATATAATATTTAAATTTGAGTTCATATCATATTTTGTACAATTGATATTGGTTTAGAATAGTTCATATTTTTTTGTCAAAATTTATATCACCAAATTAGTGATATTGTGTATTTTGGTATTATAACGGAGAAACTAAAGCAAATTTTAGACTTTTTCAAAATTTTGTTTCATTGTACCAAACATAGCTTTAGGGATCCGGATCCTATGTCATAACCTATTGTAATATTCAACACATTTGTTTTATATTTAAACACAATTTCATCATACGAATATACGATAGAAATGAGTTAAACACGATTTAAGTGCGTGGAACAATCATATACCATGATTTAAGTGCACTGAACAGTCATATACCATCATATGATGGTATATTATAGGAGGAAATATACCATCATAAAATAATTTTGTATGGGCATGAACTGTCTTAAAGAGGATTTAACTCCTAACTCATGTTGGCCTCAAACTTGAATTTAAGCAAAGTTATTCTTTAAATTAATTTTTGGGTAATGATAGGAGAACCGAAAAGGAATCACTAAATTAATATTGAATTTGACGTGGTTGGCCATTCTTATCATGTGTTAAACAATTATTTTTGAAAACTGTTTAAATAGATGATGTAAACAAAAAAACATCAGGTTCGATATTTATTCGGGGTTAATTCATCGGTCTCCCTATCATTATTCTTAATTTTATTCAAAGATACATTTTAATATATATGATACTATAATTTTAAGGAAAGCGAGTGCATTTCTTCTGAGCTTCAAAACCTGTTTTTTATTTTTATTTTTTTTTGCAAGTTACTAACACGCACTTTAGCGACCACGCTCTATAAAGTATCCATTATATTATATATGCTTTGTAATGCAAGGAAATATCACCCGGATACTTCGGTGATTTGAAGAAACCTAATCTGACTTTTAATAATAAGAGCATCAAAAGTTTGGAACAAAAAGACACTATTACCCCTTTTTAAGAAGTAAATAAACTTGCTTAGCGGGATCAGAACTGCACTTCTAGATAACAACAGCTTTTATTTATATATATTGTATATATATAGATAGATAGAAAGATAGACAGTAAAAGCTTTGGGTCATTTGGTAGTGCATGTATTGATGCATGTCCTAGAGTAGAATCAAAGGCAAAATGCTTAAGAGGTTGGTGGTCTCGTATCATTGGATTAATAAATATTATACTAGGGATATATATATATATATATAGAGGTTCTAACCGATGTAGGTTCCAACTACATACTATATCCCTAGTACAACTACAGTCATTAACTACCAACTATATATATATATATATATATACCAAAAAAACAAAAAAAAAAAGAAAGAGTCAGCTTTGATAGATGTGGTCTTCATGGTATTTTGGTCACATTAATCCTCTCTTACCTAAATATATACAAAAAAACAAAAGAAAAAGAAAGAGTCAGCTTTGATAGATGTGGTCTTCATGGCATTTTAATGTGACCAAAATGCCATGAAGACCACATCTATCAAAGCTGACTCTTTTTTTTTTTTTTTTTTTTTTTTTTTTGTATATATTTAGATAAGATAGGATTAATGTGACCAAAATGCCATGAGGACCAAGTGACTATCAATGAGTGGTACATTCTGCCTGCTTGTTTTTGTTTGTTCGTTTTTTTATTTATTTTTTTTTGTCTCTTCAAGGCTCAGCAAATAGTGAATATTCACAACTACAAAAAGGGTGGAAAGTAACAATGATGGGTAATGATAAGTGAGAATTGAATGGGTGGGTATGAAAAGTCACAAAAGGCATCAATTGAGTGAATATACATGTGTCTCATTCAATTGCATATAACACTATATATCATTCTATATACTTTTATGAAACCTATTGAACGTACTTGATTAAATATTTTTAAATTTGTGAGGTTTTACAATTAAAACGGGGCATGGTGGTGGGACAACTTAAACCAACAGAGATGGGCGGGGGCAGAGAGTTTTTTTGTTAAATAATTTTAATGAAAGCTACTCAATTAAAGGTGGAGCCGTGGAGGAGGGCATAAAGGGCTCCCATTCCATATGTTTTCCGTTGATATATACCCAATCTCAATCTTTCATTTCAAAAGAAATCAGGGATGTGACAGAATGAAAGGGATTGAGAATATTCATAATTGGTGGTTCAAATAATTTGATCGGTCCATAGGAACTACATGAAGCACCCCAAGGAATTTGATGCAGAAAACGGTACAATGTACCTACTCCTTGCAGGAACACTACTCAACTTTCCACAATTTGCAAATCATTACTAGGTGTTAAAAAGGAAGTATCATAAATTATCAAAATTTTGGAATTTAAAAAAAAAAAAAAAAAAAAAAAAGGGGGAGGAAAATATCTTATTCCGAATGAATTAAGCATTTATCTGATTAAATGCGTTTGATAACGCAATTTGTATATAGCTTAAAATGATAAGCGCCACTTAAAATGTGACAAATTTTAAATAATAGGGACATCACTTATCACTAAATGCTGAACACTAAAAAATTAAAAAAATATAAAAATTATTTATTTTCTAATTACCAATTAAAAACTTCCGTACTTAAAATTCAGCTCTTAAAATTTTCACTACTTAATTTTTAATTTTATCAAACATCACTTAATTTTTAATTATATCATATTTACATGATGACATGGTATCACCGAGTACGTGGGACCCATTTGCCCCCAAATATAATGGACTATACATACCCAATTGTCTTTTAATTTTACTTCTTTTATATTTAAAATTTTAAAAATATTTTTGTGCTTTATCCATAAGACGAACTTTGATCCCCTTAGAATTTGAGGCAAGTATATTGTCCTTTCAAAAAAATTCACTTTTTATCTGAAAAAAGATGTTTGGGAGATGGAACATCGGTCAATAGTCAAGTAAAACATAGGTTACTTGCCCAAAAACTAAATATATAATAGTATGTATATATTAGGGGTGTCAATTCGTGTTCGCGAATCGTAATCGTGTTGTGTCAATTTAAAAATATTCTACTAAACAGCTCAACTCGAATACCACCTATTTAATAATTGTATCAAGAACCCCCAATACTAACCCGATTGATTTATTAATGTATCCCGTTTAATGACATGTTTAATAAAATCAAATATTTTATTATTTAAATTATTAATAATACTCGATCAAATATTAAATACTAGAAAAATATAAGTTTCAATCCATTCAAGTTATTAAATAATCTCTAATTTACAAAAGAATAAATTATAAGATATAAGTTTAGATAGTTATTTTAAAACTTAAATAAAAGTTTATTTATGACACGTATAGTTAAACGGATATAAATAGATTACACGGATTGAACCTCTAAATCCAAATATGACAGAATTAACCTGTTTACGATTCAAATTCGTTTAAGATCAATCCAAATCTGTTTAATTCGTATCTTGTTTGAGTTGTGTTGGTAAAATGGTGCCAAACTTTGCCTCCCAATATATATATATATATATATATGGATGGATGGATGGATATTTATGGCATCAAGGTGAATAGGGAAATGTCTCTGACGAGTATATATGTAGATAGATATAGATATAGTGTGTGTGTATTCGGAATGTTTTAAGCTTTTTATCTGTGGTCTGAGCCAAGTAGCCAGCTACATTTGTAGTTACTTGGAAAGAGAATAAAAAAATGCAACTGTTTTGGGATTTAGTTGGGAGTTATAACGCCTTTATTTGTTGAAAGACGGGTCATCTACTTCTACTAAAAAGGGTCCTTGTCACATTCCATGTCTTTGTTACCAATTCCGAATCTCTAGGCCTTCTTCTCTCTGTCTTCTCGCTAACTGCACACCTAGTCTCTTCTTCATCTGGTCTTCAGACAAACAACACATCAAATCTAATACTCACTTCACTTTATTATTACTATTCAATTACATACCTTTTTGTATTTTGGACTCACATGCTACCTCTCTCATTTTTTAATAACTTATAAACAAACCCTTCTTTTTCTAGTCTAATCTTCATTGATGATCCAGTTTAATCTCTAGTTAAAAGTTAGTAAAGGAGTCTTTGGTTGGCTTTTTCCTTTTTATCACTCTCTTTTTGTCATTTCGAGTTTAATTCACAAATAGATTTGTGCTTGTCCACTTTGAGTCCAACCATGTGATGTTGTCACTTTCCTGCTATAGCAAGTTTAATTCATCAAGTGGGGCTTGTACAGCATATGCACCCTCACTCATTTCTACAAACACTTTTCAAAATTGATTGGTATTGCCAATACACATTACCTATTTCGAGTGTCCGAGGCTCTGTTAGAGATATCAAAATTGATTAATATTGGCAATACACATTACCTCAAGTGGTAATAAGATCTCGAGTGTTCGAGCCTCTATTAAAGACAATATTGTAGGCCGGTGTGCGTTTGCTTGAATTTTTTTTAAAAAAATCACTAAACTTCGAGCGGCGAGAAGCATCCAAGACCTCAAAATTTTTGTTACTCTGAGGGTAGTACACATAGTACTCTTGCAGCTCCGTCCTTGCACCCTTTCTCTCCCATGTATTAATCTTGCATCTCTGTCCCATCGTTAAGGATGGCAACCCGACAGATTTATTACAACAAATGGTCCATATAGCAATTCTGACAATGTGATATCCCAGACCTGGAGCTTATTACTTGCCTCAATCAATTTTTTTTTTTTTTTTTTTGATGAGTTATTACTTTGCCTCAATCAGGAAAGTTTGGATGACAAACATGAGGTCCACGACGCGGATTTAAGTTTGAAAACAATAGCTGCAAAACAATGTCAAATGCAGTGGATAATGATCTTTAAATGAAAATCAAGTTTGCCTTGGCTTACCATATACATATATATATATATATATATATATATATATATATCTACCAGATAACAAGACCTTGTTTATAAGGTATATGAACTCCTATGCCTCTGTAGGAAGGGCATTATTCTACAGTTATTCTGCTACAACATTTTGGCATCAATGTTGACCTCTACACCTTTTTGTGTCCCATATATATTTTCTTGCAGCTCTGCCACACCATTAAGGATGGCTTCCAAACAGATTAATTGCCTAGTCCACCTAACAACTTTGCTGCAACATATACACAACCACAATTCATCAGAATTTGAAACCATTTCACTGCAAAATAACACCAAATGTTAAACCTGTCACTTTTTTCTTCGAATCACAGGATATATAATGGTCAATAAACTCTAGATAATGGAGTTTTCCGTCGTCTGCAGTGAGCATCCATAACTATCATAGCCACCAACTCGTTTTTAACTGTGATAGAAGTAACAAGATATATAGCATGGACCTACCAGCTTGCTAGGGTATATTTACCATGTAGATGTAGGTCACATCTGGTTCTTTATACAATCTTATAGATGAGACTCGTCTTTATCAACAGTGGTCCAGACATCACACAAAAACACATCTTTTTCAGCCGCCATAACAAACATTAAATAAGCCTGTACAAGGTCCACTAATTAATGTATATAGCATGCATATGGAACACATCTGTATTTAGGTTGCTTCCACATCGATCTCTCTGATGCTCCTATTTAATTTGGGAACTCATGCCAAAGATAGTAATGCAATGCTATTTTTATAAAATGGGCATGGAACAGAAAGAAACATGACTCAATGCGATCCCCTTAATAGGGGTTACCCAGAGAAAATGGACGGATTACTCAATGTGTTTAGACCTACCAATGGATCGGATTCGGATCGGATTCATATCCTATTTGTTAAGCAAATGGATTATCGGATTCGGATCACTAACGGGTTCTCGGACTGAATGTCCCAATCTATATCCTATTTAGCTCGGACTCGGATCGGATCGGATTCGAAATCGGATTAAATTAATATTTACTAACATATATACTTATAAAGAGTATGATTTTATTAGTATGTGTACTAAGAGATTTATTAGCATGTGGATGAGAACACCACAATATTTTTATATAACATTATTATTATTTTGAATTTTTGGGTTACCTTTAATACAATTCTAATAAGAGTATTGATATATATGTGTATAAAATTATTAATAAATAATTATATATATATAATTATTTTTATATATAATTTCAATCAGATCGGATCGAATTTTTATCGGATTGGATCAGCATAATCCATATCCGATATGTAAGCTAATGGATTATTGAATTCGGATCGTAACCGGATTGTCGGATTTTTTGTTCAATCCATATCCGACTGATCGGATCGGATCCGGATCAAGATCCGCTCCATTGACAGGTCTAAATGTGTTTCAGACCGGCGTTCTCACACTTGATACTCAAAGCATTTTACCTATGCAACAAGAAATGGCCCCTGCAATCTATACAAAACAGAACTAATATTTTCCTGCATCGAATGCCTGGGTATGTTCCGTTTGCAAATTGCTAACAATTAGCTAACCTCGCCACTCACATATTACCACAAAAATATATGGAGCATAACAAGAATGGAAAGGAAACTTTTAATTAGATTGTAGTATTTTAGATATGCCAACACAATCCATATGTTGTTTCACTAATTTCTACCAACAAATTACACACTTCGTCCTGAAGTACAAGATAAATGATCTCTGCAGTTAGATAAATTTGAATCTTATCGCAACAATACTACAAACTCACTTGGTGAATAAGTTGAGCACATCGGGTTCAAACTTCTTTACGTGACCTTCAAGCGTTCAAAAAAAGTTGAATTATTTGACTACTTCCTACTTCCTACTTCCTATCATGTCAATTACAACAGGGAAAGCAATTGCTTTCAAAAACAATTGCATGTCCCATTTCCAAATTGATAATCACTGAACCGGTGTCCTGCTTTCACCAAGGTTGCCCTTTCCCTCCAAGCCGGCGGGCTAGCTCCCAATCTTTTTTCACTGAGCAGAAAGAAAACAAAAGAAATAGGTTGAATCTCAATGTTAAAGTTCTAAAACAAATGAAACACATGGTTTGTATAGAATGAAAAATTAGAACTCCATTGATTAAAATAAATATTAATCCAACTATACCATTCAGGATTTCAAAATTTATGTACATCAGTACATGACAGTAGTTACCCAGTCTCATCCATTCAACCTAAACATCCCATTTCTGTGCCATCCTCCCTCCCCTCCCCCAACATCCACACTTGCAAACAAAGAAATAAAATAAAATAAAATAAATGTGGGCAATATTGAGAAAAATAATAGCAACAGCCTAATTTTAAAGCAAAGATCAAATGTTTTAGCATTAATCTCATTCCTATTTCAGAAGTGGCACATCTGATCATCAGATTGCAAATGAGAGAATCAATTAACGTGGTTTGGTTGAGAGGAGCAAAGACCAGTGATTGCACTAAGAAATGTAGGAAGCATTGATATTAATGTTGGGAAAGGGGAAGATCAAAACTAATATGAGTTGAGATGGTAAGGATAGATATGATCACATGTATTTTACTGAGGTCATGGCTTTAGAGCTAAATGACAAAGTAAGATAACAAGGATTGATATGGCTCGCCCCAAATGGTTAATATAAGGCATTGTTGAGTTGGGTTGAGTCACGCATATACATTGAATTTTGTAACAAGAAGACAGACTATTTTGAGATATCCGTACATATCAAACAAGCGTATACTTGAATATTGAGGCCATTCTTCTAAATAAAACTTATGAAATATCAAGCAACTTGTGCATTATTCATGCAGATATGGCTGCATGAACTGCAGCATGGAAGCAATGCCTGAAACAAATTGGTGAGCAGAAATAAATTATTGAATAAAAAAATAAACTAGCAGATTTTACTGCAGCAGATCACATTTACTGCAGATTTAGAAGATTCAAATACAAAAGCAAAATTGTAGCATCCTTCACTAGTACTAAAACCAGTGGATTGATTGGATGAAATATGAACTATGAAAAGAGTAAATGAAGTTGAAAACAAAATATTTGTCAAGATTTCAATATCAATCAATTAGAGAATCAATTCATAACCTTTAGAGCAAACATAGAGCATTGAAAAGGAAAATGAAAAACAAAATCTAAAAAAAGTCACCATACAATAATCTAGAAAGAAAAAATTTCAATTAAATCTCACTTACTAAGTGTAACACGTTTTGCATGAATTGCACATAACATTGCATCTTCAAACAAATGAACCAAAAAATCTTCTGCTGCCTACAAAAATGACCAACCATTAATTGCACCTGTATATGAATCTAACAATTTGTAGAAGCAGCATTTTACCATTTCAGAAAACTAAAAAACTAACACGCATAAAAACATTTGTACACAATCACAAACACTGCAGCATTTCCGAAAGGGTAATTAAGAAGTAAAAGGAACTTGCAATGAGGCACCAGAAGGTAGTCAAATAAGATAGTTTACTCGAGTGCAATAAAAATCAACGACAATACCAACAAAAAGGAACCACTTGGTCTAAGGTGTGACAAGTACAAAAGTAGACACAAGGGGAATGTGGTTGAGGCAATAGGAAAAGACATAATGGCCTACAAGCCTTGTACCTGATTCAACAAGCTTTTGTTGAGATGATAGTTGGACCTGTGGTTAAGACTTCATGTTGGTGGTTCTCACTTATCAGAACCAACAATTCAAAACGATAAGGTGTGGGGCAAAACCTGGATTTTCATGGTTATATCTAGGATGGTTTATTCATATTGTAAAAGAAAAGAGAGTCAAATAGTTCACTATGGCAGGACAGTAGGACAAAAAGGTGCTAAATGAGGCAAAATGCAGAGTCATCAATATCAATCCTCAACTAAGGGATGGACCAAATCTTTTGAAGATACCAGCCTTAAGATGCATGTGCTAACTGTCCGCAGACATGTCAGTTTCCAAGAAAACTACCAATCTACACCCATTAATGACAATGACATTTCATGGATATGCCAAAACAGTAAAAAAAATTCTTTTTTTTTTTTTTTCCCTTGGGGGGGGGAGGGGGCATGGTGAGGAAAGGAAGTGGCAGTAAAAAGTGTATATTTTTTCTGCATATACATATATGATATATTATCCTTGGAGGGTGTGTGTGTGTGAGTACCAACTAGAAAAATAAAAAATAAGATCTCATTTGAGAAGGATTAAATGCTAGGAAGTACGGACATGCCTAAAAGGGCGAAGAATCCGTGTCGGACACACCAAAATAGGGTCCGAATATTTTATATTCTTTCGAATATCCGGACACGTCGTGGAAACGCTTCTGACATGAAATGGATACGTGTCCGACACGCATGTCCCACTCTTTGGGGATTTTTAAGAAAGTTTTAGAACAATGTTGAGTTGAAGTGTATGTATTAGGAGTTGTTTAATTACATAATTACTTTAAAACTTATTGTTTCATAAAACAATTTTATATTCAAACAATTAGATATTTATTCTTATAGTAGTATTTTAGTTCAAAGGTTCAAACCCTTGCTCTCTTCTTGTCCCACCAACCAAGCTTCACTACCAGTGAATGGTCTCTCTATCTCTTTCTCCTCTTTTCTCTCTTATTCTTTGTCCTCCTCCTTTCTTTCTTCTTGTTCTTCACAAACCCTAAATACTTCTTTTTTTCCTTTCACAATAAATTTCTTTTTGTCTCTTTTTCCTTTTTCCACTATTCCTAATGAACCTTTTTTCTCTTCTATGGATTCTTACATATATTTTTAACTAATGCCTAATTATTTTTTCACAAAACCCTAATCCTTTTTTTTTTTTTTTTTCTTGGCCCTCTTTCTACCATTCTTTCTTTTTTCCAGCAACACATTTTTTTTTCATTATGAGATTGTAAAAAATAATATTACTCTTAATTTCTTAAAGTACAACATCATATATATAGAAAATATATTTCTTATTTGCCGTGTCCCCGCCGTGTCCATGTCCAATTTTTTTAGGATTTTCTGTGTCACTGTATCCGTGTCATGTCGTATCCGTATCTCGTATCCGTTTCCATGCTTCTTAGGTTAAATGGAAGATTCAGAGATTTAAAACTTACGTGGAAAAAGACTTCAAAAGTAGCGCTTAATGGTCAAGTTGAACTTTGTAGGACTTATTGGTCTTCAGAACAGGAAAACAAAAAAAAAAAAAATGAGAACCTCCTGATGATTTTCCCAAAAACTAAACATGCCACATTAAGACATTAGATACCTATCTACTAGCATGTACCTCTAAAAACACCCTAACACCCTGTTCATTAAATGAAATTAGAATTATAGTACCTCCTGAAGTGCCACCAAAGCTTCAGCTGTCCACTGAGTGACTTGAGGGGAAAAGAAGTAGCTAATCTCTTTAACCTGCCACAGATGACGAGGACAGTAAGAATTATGTTTGTAAGTGGTAAGCCTCATTATAAGATAGAATATTTAAAAATAAATAACAGCAGATACTGGAAATAGCATTGTTAATAAAGAACTGCATGCAGAATTTCTAATATTATGTTAACAGGTTATCTGACAAAACGTGCATACATCCTAATTCCTAAGAGACGTGCGATAATACAGCATCATAGAAGAATTGAATTGGTCAAGCATATAGTCTTGGGAAAAAGCGTTTGCTGAACCCTCTTTCATAAATCATGGACTTCTCTTCAAATCCGCTTATAATAAATTGGAAGTTGTGAACAGAGCAATTCCAGATTGTGGGGTAAACCATTCTGAATAAAACAAGAAAAACGTAGAATTTGTAGAACACTTGATGAAAAAGAAAAAAAAATTCACCATGAACAGAGGTAAGAGCCTGATTCACACTCACTGGTGGAAAACACAAAGGGATGAACTCCTCAAACCAAAAAGGCCAGTGGTGTATTATATGAAAATAACTTAATACACTGACCATATCAGCAAACACATGGAAATTAGTTCCCTTTAAATTCCATTCAAACTTTAGTTCCAAGAATTCAGCTTTAGCATGAAAATGGTGCCAGTTATTGTATTGAACACAAAGAACAATTTTACGAACTAATAAAGGAAAAGAAGCAATGAAAAAGCCTCCAAAAGAATGATGCTATACTTGATAGCATGGAATTGATGTTTTGGAATTTGAATTGGAGGAAAATTAGTTAAAAGTTGGAACTACTTTAGTTCCCAATTCCAAGTTCAAGGTGTCAATTTCATGCTTTCAAATGTATCATGAATAAATCTTAAGGCCGTAGGGATAAACCATTTGCAACTTCTCTTTCTTCCAAGTTAATTATTTCAGCCGCCTTCCATTGTTTATTTAAATTAGAAGCAGAATAGGACACTTGAATATATGCATATATGTCCACACCAATTTATCTGGATAAGCTTGGGCAAAGAATTGTTCATTAATGAATTTACTGACGAAATAAAAAACAGTAAGCCGATCCTATTAGTTAGAAAGGGAGATAAAGAGGACTAACAGTTCTAATGAAAGGAGCAGCTGGGATGAGAAGATTCCAGGTCTTCTGAAACTTGCGAATCTCACGAAGAGACACAGTTCCTGGCCTGTTACGTCTCTTCCTTTTTGCCTCTCTTGAACCTGAACATCAAGTTTTCAAAATCATTCTAAAACCTAAATTTCAGCTCCACAAAATCATAATCAACTCAAACCCATAAAGAAATTAAATTTTTTTTTTTATAAAAAAAAATAAATAAACACACACACACACACACACACAAATACAAAAACTCACTTGGAGGAGCATTCCTTGGACTTCTTCTGCTAGGCGTCTGTAATTGTTTATTCAATGACAAATATAAGATATATATGTGATACACAAAACACATAAAGATGTATATGTGTGTGTGTATTTGAGGAGAGAGAGAGAGAGTAGTACCGAACTCGGACCTGGAGATGTTGGAGGATTTACTCTCGCATCTGTGTGTGTTAGAGAAATAAATTAGGAAAAAAATTAAAAAGAAAGTAGAATCAGCATTATGTTGAGAGAGAAAGTAGAGAGAGAGAGAGAGAGAGAGATCTGACCGGAGGTTTGTCGGCGGTTTCTTTTCTTTTGGGCGGTATGTTTGGTTCTCGCCATGGATTTGATGAGATGATGCAGAGTAGTAGTTAAGAGTGAGAAATTATTTGTGCTTCTTTTTCTTTTTGTAATTTTAGGGTGCGGAATTCACACAATAATTTTGGCTCTCAACGGGAGGAAAAATTAAAATAAAATAAAAATTGAAAATGCTAGTAATTAGTAATATTTTCCCGCTCAATTTCATTTTTATTTGGAGTCCAGTGAAAAGTGGGCCTCCCTTTTCCGTTCTCTTCGAGAGGTCCTGGTCCTAAATCATTCAATAATGTGGCTGCCCAAAGGGCCTGACCGTAATTTTTGCATGCATGGGCTATTATATGTGGGCTACCAAGTCGGACTTCAGAAGCGTTCCTTAGGACCCAATAGAACTTTGTACATTCCTTTTACCCTAGTTAATTTTGGACATTTTTTTTTATTTTTTTTATTTGCTTCAAATATAAAAAATATATAGGCCAAAAAAAGAGACAATACAAATTTTAAAACCTTATGTATCAGTTTAAAAAGGTAACTAAATACAGCATAGGCTATTGTCCAACAATTCGATTTCTTATAAATAAATAAATAAATAATTAAAAAATTAAAATAGTAGTATATTAAATTATTGATAAGAAAATGGGTCATTGGGCAAAACTATATGAGCAGAGAGGTATTATCTAAGCCCAGCTCAGCCAGTCCCACGACCAATTTAAGGTACAAACCTATTCAGTATCCAATAATGCTGTTAATCAGCATTTGCTACATGGAAGGAAGTATCAACAAGTCGAATACGAGCCTAACATTTCACATTATTGCACAAACTTACTGCTATGTAACTCGAACATTCTTCAATCAGTATGTTTAAAAAGAGTAGTAGCACATGTTATAATGTTCACAATTTCCTGTTGAAAATGAAAACACCACCAGCCACCATTAATTTGTCTGAAGAAGTGCTGAAACATATCGTAATCACAAAACTTCATACCATCCACATTTCTTTACTACTTTTGTCAACGACGATGGCAACACAAAAGCTTTTGAAAGAGAATGAGGGAAGAATCTGCCATAGAATTTTGCATGAGCGATTCCATTACAAGTTTCACGGGAAAGCAACAAATAAAAGGTGGTACCGGTACGGTACATACACACAATAATAAAAAAAGTAATTATACAGTAGTTTAAACTAATACAAGATCCTTGTTTACATGAGATCCAAAATGGATATATTATAGAGCACAAAAACATAACATAGGAAGACCGGTGGCGGACGAGGAATTATTCAACTCATAACTCTATTTTTTGCCTTCAGGGCACAAGCACAAAAATCTAATATAAAAGAGGAGCATGAATTACACAACTTACAAGAAAGCTCTGGAAATTCCGGGAGAAAATAAGAAAAATACTTGGAGATGTCGGCATGCAATTACAACTCTATGGCTGTGAGGGGGTAGGAGATGTTGGAGGCTTGAAATCAGGATACTGCAACCAAAACAAAATACATAAATAAAATGAAAGACAGAGTATTTTGTCAAGAGCATAGACCAACAATTAAGATTGATTATTTGCGCATATTGATTTATTGCCAAAAAGAAACAACCAAATCTTCTAAAATAAAAACAAGCACTTCCTGGACTTTCAAGACCTCTTTCACCATACCCATTTGCGAGTCTCATTTTACACCTAACTTTTTATTCAATTATTTGTTTTTTTTTAATTATTATTTTTTTTTAACTTATCAAAAAATAAAAATAAAAATAAAAACAAATAATTGAATAAAAAGTTAGGTGTAAAATGAGACTCACAAATGGGTATGGTGAAAGAGGTCTTGAAAGTCCGGGAAGTGATTCTGCTTTAACTTCTGCTTTAGGCACTGAATTTACTTGGGGAGGCGGTTCTGCAGCTGCAGGGCTTGTCTCTGAAGGTGCAGGAAGAGCCTTGTTACTCACAGGTAACGGTAGAAGAGCCTTCCCAATTTCCTGAGTTCCAAAACGTGGGAAGAGGAAAAGAGAGATCAATTTGGCCATTTGCAAATGTTGGATCACTGAAGAGTATAACAATGAAAATAAATATATCAAATCAGTTTCTAAATTAGCGTTAAGTACCTTTATTTCATCTACAAGCTCTTTCGGGGCTATCTTGGTGTTCAAGAACTCATCAACTTCTTGTAGAGTTTCCTTCCGATCCTGTTATGGGAAGCAGTGGAGGCAAGTGAATGAAAGAAATATAAATATGTAATGCCTTCCGATCCTGTTAGATTTTCACTGTTTGGAGCCATTAAAAAAGAAATATAATTATATAACTATGTAACTGCTAAATTACACAGTAGCTTCCCTCTACCATCAATAGAAGAATGCATATGTAACACACCGCATTCAATAAGAGAAACGCTAGCAATTTTCATGCAGAAATCCTGTGGCGTGTGCTATGCAGAGAACCAGTAAATTCAGAATCAGCAGTGCTTTTATAACACTCAGAAGAAAATAGTCGCAGAATTCACACAAGTGTCATCCGTCGAAGTCAAAGAAGATCAGTCAGAAATCAGAAGCGGAAAGTCAGTAGATAATCCTAAAAAAAATAAATGCAGTAAACTAGTAACAATACGTTTAGAAACTAAAAAAATCCAGACTATGAAGAAAGATTTGCTGTGTATCAATATTTAGTAAGCCTATGGCAGATGATCATCATTATCCAACCAAAAATTGCATCTTTGATTGTCTACAGAAAACATGAATTGAGTAAATGCATCAACATAAATTAGCAAAAGACTACAGACTCTGAGGCTCAGGCCTTACAGATACAATAATCCAGAGGTTACAGAATGGACAAATGGCACATGCATATGATATACGAATCACTAGGTGCCTCTCAGAATAATACAATACTGTCTATGCTAAAATATACCTAAGGCAATATAATCTAGAAAAGATGAATAATATGATAGAACCTTTTTTATTCTACTAAGAATTTGCCATGCAGATCCTTTTCAGGGACCCAATTTTTAACAAGTCTTGCTATATATTTGCACACCATGTCACAAGGTGGTAATAGGAATCTGTTTATTTCATATTAATATCTTTTAATGAGATGGATGATTAAATAATTTAAATTGGTATATTTTGAGATTCAATATCCCGTGCAAAGAGTGCCCCACACAATAAAAATGCCCCAGCTAATTATAGTTCGTTACTGTGATTTTGATTAAAGAAGAACTTTATTCTTAATGGCAAACAAACATGCCCCTAAAAGAACTACAATGAGAAGAAATTTATAATTATCAACAAACCTCTGCAAATAGGAGCTTCTTGCTAATAAATTGAACAAGTGCAGCTGAGCCTAAAAGTTGGAGTACCGTTTCCACCTGAGAAGATATAGAAAAACAATAAATATAAAATTTTCCACAACATCTTTACCCAATTTCAAATAACATAAAAATAATTAATGAACAACATATAAGCAAAGAGCTTAACAGCCCAACCTCCGAAAATGCCAATAAACCTAATCCAGTAGCTGCAGCAATCCCAAGGGTAACCGACAAGCCCTCAGAGCCCTCCTGAAATTTTATTTCCATCATAAACCATTAAAAAGGCCAACTAAAACATCGAAGAAATGTCTCAACTTTCATAAAAGTGATATAGAAGCAATTAGCCATATTGATGATTGACCTTAAAAGGCTATCAAGCCAACTCTATTGTTCTCAGTAATTTTAAAGACACTTGCGAAATATACAAGAACTTGATACACAGTAAAATCATATAATATATTCATAATGTTGCATGGAATAACAAAAACAAAGACAAATGCTTCTTTCAGAGAGAGATGCAGGAGATACCATTTGAAAGAAAGCAGAAGTAAATATATATGCATTTTTTCATTCACAATTTTAAGGTGGAGACTAGTCCAGAAAATATTACAAATGTTAAGAAAAATACAAGTCGTGCTACTCCCAACAGAATATCTTAATGACGGCAATATCTGTATTCCAAATTAAATCTACATCGCCCCGGGGGTAGATATCTTTCAACAACATTATAAATGCTTCTAATTTTTTCCATTTTTTCTTATTTGGTAATCTAAATGTTTTGACTAGAGATCCAAACAATAACAATTTAGAATTCTCGTTGTTCATAAAGGAAGTCAAAATGTTAAGAAATTGACCTGGACCAGTACTCATAGTAAGGTGAATAATCATGACAAGTGTGGTTAATCATCATAATTCCTTTCTCTTGCCCTTTGGTCGTTTGCGTGTTTCGCCTTTTTATGGTTGCTTTAGTTTTGGTGTTTTATCACTAGAACTCTAGTTTTCATATTCTCTTTTTTTCTGAATAAAAGATATATTGCCATTCACTCTTTGAATTCTCTTCTGCTTCTTATCAGAAACAAAAGGCAAGAAAAATAAATAAATAAATACAAAATAAAGGAACACTTCAAGGCTATAACAAATTTCTTCTATAAGAAAATAATCTTTTTTATTTCAATTTTTAAATAGTCTCATATTTGATTAAACTTGACAAAGAAATCATAACTAAAAACTGATGGAACTACTCTTGGAGGAAGAGAGTGCTCAATTAACCATGCAGAGTTATTGAGGGGGAGAGCAATGGAGCAACTTTACGCTAGCCTTTTTGAATTAAGGATTGTTTTATAGCTCCTAAGTTGTGAGAAATCAAAGCTGTACGGGCATGATTCAATCAAATGATAACTTTTAACTGACAAATGAGAAGGGGAAATTTAAGTAAATATGAACTAGGACACATACTCCAAGTGCACCACCAATCGTATCAGTCAAATTGCTGAGGTCAAGGGTCAATCCTTTACTCGGTAGTATCCAGGGAAGACCACTGTTCTGCGAACATGAGGATTCATCATAAAATTTTTGAACTACTAATTACATGACATAATAAAACTCGGATGCCAAAAAACAATGAAAACTCAAAACAAGGGAATAGGAATCGCACTGACCATCCATCCTCGGCTTCCTTCGGCACCATCTTTTATTGCATAGGCAGCTTTGAATCCATTTGCAGTAACCAACTCCGCAACCAGTTCAGAGTTCCCATCAAATCTGGCTTCAATTAAAAATCCAGTAACATTAGTTTCATATATTATCAACTTTCATAATAGAACCACAAGGAAACTCTGGCAGCATGAGCCGATATTTCATGAAATTACGAAAGTATCTAGGATAAACTACATGATGAGAGGAAAACAAGAATGAAAGAAAATATTGAATGTCAGAACAGTGGCACGAGATTTTATAATTTGAAGTCCAAAGGCTTGAGCAGTTCTAATACTATAATGGCCTCTTTAAGCTATAAATCATTTATTTGTCCCCAATGTGTTAATCTTAGGTTTATTCTTATTAAAATATCTCTGTTTCCTGCACAAAATAGCTTATATTATGGTGCAGAAACAAGATCCAATGCAATTTATTATTTCGAGTATCTTTTTTGGTCTGGTATTAGTGCAAAGAATAAATAATATTGTAAATGTTATTTAAACTTTAAGTATTGGCTGACACTCCCTTTTGTCTAAACATCTTAAATTGGAACCTCTTTCATTATTTCAATTTGATTCTAGTAAATTTTAAATTTACTTGTGTCAGCTAGAATGAATGAACACCATTCATGTTTACAAACCTCACGGATTTAATGTAGTGTTTATTGACTGAATAATATTTTTAGCAAGGGAAATGAAAAGATACATCATCCAAAAATTGATCATTTGGACTTCATTTCAGATTTGCCTTCGACTTTGACGTGGGATCACTGTCATGTGCTGGCCGAGTTTTGATAATTACTTTGATATACATTCAAGCACGGATCAACAAAGTGCTTGAGGGAGGCCATAACCCCTTAACCCTTGGGAATTTTTCATCTTCAAATCCATATATTTCCGTGATATTTTTGTAGGGACCCTGAAAATATATCTAATTGCGCCCCTCCCCCAAATTTTAACTAATACTTCAATGTCTTTGATAAAAATATCCTACATCTTTGGATCATCAATATAGTTCACATCCAAGGAATAAACCTATGACCACAATACAGGCATTGACAAAGATCTTTTCTGCCTCAACTAGTGCCTTGAACTCAAAAAGATGCATCAAAATTTGAAAATCTATTTTTTTTTTTTTTTTTTGTCGTTTTCCCTTTTCATTCGGTTTTCATCACAATAGATTAATTACACACAGAGAATAAGCAACAAACTTCAAAATTTGGGCTCAATATCTTACTTGTCTAGAATGAACAATGTGGTAGTTTCTGGTTCCTTGAACTTGAAAGCAAGCTTCTTCAAGAACCCCGGTTTATCCTCACCTTTGTACGCAACCGACACCGGCTTCTTCCTCAGCCCCCGGATATCCGGACTACCCACTTGCCTCAACTCCACTGGTGCTCTTATATCAAGCAATTGAGCACTGGCCTCGTCGGCCAATTTCGCATAAGCACTCTTTGCTGACTCAACACCCCATGGCTTAGAGTTGCTGAAAACCTGAGATAGAACTAGTGGTACTGCTAAAATGGCTACCCCACCAATTACAACAGCAGGATTCTCCACACCAAAAGTGATGACACCATCTAGAACCCCACTTGGATCAAATTCAGATGTGGGTGAACCCACTAATTGTTGTAGTGCTTCCTCATATGTCAAAGCCCTAGCAAACCCAGTACCAAGAACTGAAGATAAAAGCACTACACCCCCTTGAAAGCTCCTTGACAAACCCTCTGAAATTTTTGATGGGTTGGCACTAGAATTGGCATAATTTGGGAATTTGAGTGGAGAATTTGTGTGGAGTGATAAAAATTTCCTGGGTTCTGTTCTTCTGTCTGAATTAAGAACAGAGATTGGGGTCAATCCTACTGCATTGAGGACCTCCATGGCATAATTCTTTGTATATCACAGAAATTATACTATTTCTTGGGCTCTCAAAAGATTGATAGTAAAGATTCGATCACCATGAGGGTTTGGATGGTTTTTTGGCAGTTCGTTGGTCTTTGGAACTTAGCTTGAATATTAGTCAGTGGGTGCAATTTGGCTGGTGAGTTTTGAGTACCCCACCACTGTTTGAGTGACACGTGGCAAGTGAGGATCAGAGGTTTGACGATCATGTAGGTTGGTGAGCTTTTTTGTGTTTATTGTGATTTCGTGGCTGAGAATCAGTTTGAAGAAGAGCTGATAAAATTAGCTACGCTACGGGACATGCTTGCTTCATACAGTACATGATGCAGTACAGGCCGTTTACTTAAGCCTGTTAGGCCCATAACGGGAAACGGAAAAGATGCTGTTACAAATTTCTTTTAAGAAGTTTTAAAATTTTGTTTTCAAATAACATAACCAAACAGCACCTAAATTAATCGTTCGAAAAACTCTTTTTTTTTTTCTAGCAAGAAGTTGGAAAAACTTTTTCAAAATAATAGATTTTTAAAATTATATTTTATTTATTTATTTATGGTGATGAAAATGAGATTCCAATATTCAAGAAAAAAAAAAAAAAAAAGAAGAGAGAGGGATTCCAATCTTTCTTAACCAACAAAAACTATACTGGGTAATGGGCCTTTAATTCTTTTTGTTTTTTTTTATTTAGAGCTGTAGGCATCAGGTTCCACCAAGCACACAGCAAGAATGCATAGGATATCTATTTTCTCAGATATTTCAAATAACTGGATTCTTGCATATAATACATTACATGTCATCCCCAACCTTGTTTGTTTCTATATATATATATATACATATATAACATCCTTTAAAATCCTGGGATAATTCTCAGTTGAAATGAAGGTGTGTGACAGGCGTACGATACAGTGTGTGTTCCCATGGGTGGATCATCTAATTTGTAATATTCATCTATTTACAACATTATTATTCAACAAACCTTACTCCCAACAACTTGGGCTTACATGGATTCATTGCCTCTGGTTTGCTCTATTATAAGACCATGTCCTTGGCAAAAGATATCAGCCTATTACAGTCATTGTAACAACTCCTCGAAAAGAAAACCAAAAAGGGTAATCTCAATAAACAGAAAGAAGTCCAAATTATGTTTAGAGCTGCATTAGAAATTATGAATTTATGACCTATTAGAGATGTTCCAAGAACTCACAATCTGATAATGAACTACTAACCAAAATTTTTGTTACCCTGGTTAGAGAAGAGTAAACAACAAATAACCCTTTTTTTATTACAGAAGATCAAAAAAGTAATCCAGACCTTGACCAATTTCCCATATCGAGATGCCAGCACCCCATGAACGAGCTTCCTCTAGCCGCATCTTGATTGACATCAGTGATGGGTAAAACACCACATGCCTGACATGTTGATTATCAGAGTATATGAAGAAATGTTCCATGCTGTTCTTCTCCCACTGCAATGAAGGCCTGTGCTGCTCCAACAAAGACAGGTATTCCCTTCCAGTAATAGCTCCACCGCCTGAACCTGCAATTTTTATATCATTTCAAAACAAGAACTCCCAGATAATGTATGGTAATAAAAATTGTATTTATTCTCAAAAAACCTCATTTAATTACACTTTTAACCAGAAACATCATCAATTCACCTAAACATGAACAAATCCATCGACGGGATATGGTCTCAAAAAGATTTCAAATAGAAAATAGAAACTGTCAAAGGCTTTAATTGATACAAAAGAGGGGGGGGGGGGGGGGGGTTCTTCCCTAGGTCATCGAATTGGTTATTAGATGGGACTTTGGATGCCTGAGAGGGCTCACATATGGCCCATCAAAAGAATTCTCAACATTCTTTGCTTCTGCCACTAGCTCATATCCTCTCCACCTCTAAAACAACAGAAAATAATAGAATGAGTTCGTGCATATTACTATTTGTACAAGAAATCCCCTAACAAGATTTCTGATATGTTAATTTCAATAGACTAGGATATTCCTAGTTAGGTGCATTCTTCTTTTCCCAAAAGTTGTTGAGTCGGGACTAGAAGGATTCAAATTTCCCTGGAAAACTCTATTGCATTGAACAAAAAGGAAACTATAGGGCCCCCCTAGTTAATTGCCAAGAAATTGATGAACAGAAAAAGAAAACTTGTAATCTTGCGGCTGCTACTGACCCCAATTTAGTTTATAATCCGTAGTTTTCAATTCTTCATGTGTTCCATCAATCAAATCAATCATATTGTCGCAGCGCTCAACAACAAGAGACATTAAGAGAAAAATCGAAGTGATTACCTTTTGAAATGTCAAAATCGTACCCATAGAAATTCATGCCAACAAATATCTTATGGGCCAGGCTTTGAGAACCACCACTGGTGGTACCAAGAAGCAGCTGCAAGATAGCGTGGATCCACTTCAGAGGTGCATTTGGACCTGGATTTTGAGGACTTGAGAAGTCATAAGTCATAAGCGAAAAACCATCTACAACATCACTCAAGCTTTTAAGATCTTGAGGCCCAAAATCATGCTCTTGGAGCTTCTCTGAACGTGGTGGACCTATAACATACACTAACTGTAATGGTTGCTTATTATTCCTCTCTAAGCTCACAGCATGCAAAGCTTGTCCAAGTTGCTTTATGAACTGAAGTGCCTGAACTTGCAAAATAACTAGTTTTAGAATTAAGAATACTTGAATGGTTTCATATAAAGCAAATCTAAGAGTTTAATTCTGAAACCCAAAGAAAAGGACCAGGTATTGTTTTCATGCTTAAAGAACTGGAGTGTCCACAAAAGCTTCTAAACTAAGTATCAAGCAGTAACATAGCAAACAGATGTTTTATAACTCGAACTTTTATTTCATTTATTCTCTATTCTTCTGATCTGATAACATATACCTCAGATGTTATACCAGCAAACAATTTCTCTTGTGGCTTTCGCTAAATTCTAGCCCTATAATACTTATTAAAAACAGAAGTCAAGTAATGAATTTGAAGTATTTTATTATTATAACTGCCGATTCTTGCCTTCAGCAGCTGCATTTGTTCTGCTTTTGATCTCCAGTTCTTGCTGTGATAAATTTCAGTTTGGGCCGGAAGATGTCATCTGTTTCCCGTTTCTATTGGCATTTATTGGCTGGATCGTTGGCTGCTATTTAACTGTTGGGTTGATTTGCATGGTTGGCTGCTTAGTCTCAGATGGAATTGCTATTGATTGGGATATGCTTTTGAGCTTCTTATACTGTGGTATTGGTTGCGATACCCTGTCATTCGTTGCGTTGTTTAGAAGAACTTTTGGTCTTTTTCATGTTACTTTGCTCTCTTCTTAGGTTTCCTTCATTTTATTCCCTTTTCCTCTCTTTTATTTTTTTATTTTCCCTGAATTTTTCCTCTGTTATTTTGGATCGGTGGTCCTGGGAATATTTTGATCCTGGGGGATGCCCCTTGCATCATGTATTGATTGGTTGATAGAATATAATCTGAGCTTGCTTACCAAAATAAAAAATAAATAAAAAATAAATAAAAAAAAGCCGTAATGAATTTAAAGTTCCAAAAGGTTTGATTATTTTTCCCACGACAAAAAGATGGATCAGACAAACAATTTGAAACAATTAAATAACAAAGGGTCCCCAAGCAGCTTAAACAAAAAGGACTTGGTTATAGTTGCCTAGCAATCTAGCTGATTACTTGTTGAAGTTGGAGTGTAATTCAAAGAACTTGTATCAATCAGGCATCACAAAATTTTATTAAAAAGAAACAGAACTATAACAGAAGGTGCTCTATACCATATCGCGCATTTCTGGATCATGCAAGATACCGTAAGCTTCCCACCTTGACCAAGATTCAAGCACAATGCCATCATATTCCATTTCCCTATACATTCAAGAGGAGCCACAAAAAAATTTAAACATAAAAACCTCTATGCAGAGCTTGCCCTGGCTACACAGGCTATTGGGAAGGAAATATTGGAAGCAGACCTATCCTTTGGCATATTTGCATGAAGTTACAGCAGTCAGACTCAAACTCACATCCTCACACTTCACTTACTAGGTAATCGCCTTTTAGCTTTATCAATGTCTTTGAGAAATAAAATGGAATGCATTTGGGTTGAGTAACTTTGAATTTAACCCTTGCATGCCCTAGTTTCATAGGTACACGATTCTCCTGACACTATGTTCTGTCCATCATCCTCTTCCTTAATATGGACCCAAATTTCTGAGAAAGAAAAATCTCAAGCATAATAAAAAGGCTTACTTGCACTCTGATATTATGAGGTCAATTGCTTTCCTCCTCAGCTTCTTCTTTTTAAGCAGCTCGGTAGGAAAAGCCTCCAGAACAACTCTAGGTAAAACCTATTAAACCAGGAAAACACAGTAATATAGCATAAGAGCAAATGATCCCCACGAAGCTGCACAAAAAAAATTTAACATCGTAACTATTTTCATTAATTACGGTAAGTTGGAGTTTTATCCTAGGACTAATAACATGAATTACAATCACTCAATTAAATGAACTTTCTTCTGGGGTTTCCAAGACCTACTGAATATATGAGGACTTTCAAATATTTCAAGTATAAGTATATTCCCATAAAAGAAAAGGGGATCACCACCCAAATAGCAGATATGAAAAGAAGAATAGTTGTATTTGAGTTTATATATTCTTCCCCTCAATCTATGATGCCTCCATTATCATTTTTCTATTTTTGAGATATTCGGAAACAATGGTAATGGGCAACCAACTAACTGCAAATGTGCTTACTTAAGTTGCCTGATGTTTTAAGCATTCATTTTCCCTGATGTTTTAAGCATTTATTTTCCCTGATATCTTAAGCATTTATTTTTTTGCAATATGAAGACATACATTAGCCAACTTATTATACCTTGGCATCTCCTGTTAGTCTAAGCTCAGAAATCCATCCTATATCAGCATTATGTCTTCCCTCCAAAACTAACTTGGTCCCTTGGCTGGCATCAGAAAGAAAAATAGAGCATTAAGATATTTAATAGCACAAACAACCATTAGCATTAATTTCCAAAACTGCAGAAGCTTTTGTGCTATCACTCAGCTCTCTAAGCCTTGATGGCAGCATCAACAACCTCCCCAAATAAAAGTTGGTTGTTTGGGCAGCTGGCATGGATGAGCCAGTTAAAAACTATGGATGACCAGCATACTTATTATATAACAATAGTGGTAAATGATCAAGACCTAACATCACAATTAGATCACTATAAAATCCCTTTTAACCAAAAACCACAGAGATGCACTGACAAATTCTAGAAACTCTGTAAGTCAACAATATTATCATACACTTCAAGCTGTGAACAATACTTTTACACATACCTCTTCAGGTCATACCACACAGGTGAAAGATGAGTAAACTTAGAGTTGAACGTTTTCGCAAGTTCATAGCCTCTAGAATTCCTGCACCACTCAGCATGTGAACATGAATTCATTAATGTGAAAGCTTGTTATAACAACTATGTGAATGTGAACAACATAATTTAATCAAGCAAACAACTATTACTACAGCATAACATTTAACTAAAATGGCCAAAGATAAACAAAACCTCGTAACATACTCATACGTACAGGCACAAGCTTCTAATTCACCATGATAAAAAGATGGAAACTGTGATATTGTAACAATTCAATAGGAAAAAATACCTGGAAATGAATTATAAAAGACTATTTAGGTAGATCAACAAATTATATGTTGAAACGACTGAAATTCCTTAACTTCTCTAGGTAATTTTTCGCTTATTGCCAGTATTATTCTGATCATAAACTACCTTAGCTTAATTGAGAACATATGCAGCTACTCTAAATCTAAATTCATCTAACCGTCTGTCGCCATTGCTCAAAGATTAAAACCAAGCCCCTGAAACTCAAGCAGCAAAGTGATTGCTCTGGAACTCAAACAGCGTCCTCACTCCTCACTTTTTGTTAGTCACACTTTTTACCATTACACGTACAATTCTAAATCAACAGTCACAAACTTCGTAATTTCAAGATCATGTGAGAGTTGCTAAGTTAAATATAATCATGTCTCAACAAGTCATTAAACAAAGCTAGTGCAATTCTTAAATCATACACGGTGATTATGTTAAACGAACTAGGATAATTAGACAAATTGGGGGCTACAAGAACAACATACCATGGAGTAATGTAGGCCAGTACAGGATATGTATAATGTCGATGAGATGTATTTTCCGAGACTTTCGTATTCTCCTGAATTTCTTGGACAACAGAAATAAAAATGAAAACTTTGAAACTTATTGATTTACAATGAAAGTAATAAATTAAGAGGCAGTGAGAGCGTACAGTGAGAATTTGTTGGTAATTCACGTTTGTTTCATCAAGGCCTCGTTGGTATACGTTTGGAGGAGTAGGGTCCGTACGCGGGGGGTATCGAATACGGTATATGAATACGGAAAAGGCGGCAGAGACGACGAAGAAGAGGACGAAGATGGTTATGAGCTTCTGATTCTGATTGGAGTGAGAAGCTACTGAGTCGATGGACGGTTCGACTCGGTTCTGACGGCGAGCCGAATCGGCTGGGACTCGCCGGTCTCGCCTCTTAGCCATCCGATTCACCGCAACACTACAGAGGCAGCAGCAGCAAAGCAAAATCCTTTTTTCTTAAGCGAAAGAAATTTTGATTGTGATCAAAAATTGCTTCTGAAATGGGATAAGACAATTATACCCTTATCTTCCTACTCCGTACTAAACAACTTTAAAAAGACGTAATATAAAGAGGATAAACCTTATCCACTAAAAATCTAATTTGTAGCATGCTTTCCAGTACCAACCATCAACTCCAATGACACCCTTCCAATTTCCTCTCAGCTGTCATTTCTTCACAACCCAACGACCTTCAACTCTGCTAGTAACTGTCAAACATCCATGGGGACAATCATTCCATTGCAATACCTTAATCCCTCTTTCCTTCAGAATTCGCACACCAAGAAGCGACCTAAAAGCCACTCCTCCATTTTCAGTCTCCTCAGAGTTGCAGAGACTTCACTCTGTTCTTCTCCTCCACCTTCTTCACCGACCCTTCCATGTTTAAATGGATTCAATGAGCTCCAGTCCTTGAATTCAGTCAAAGTAATGCATGCCCAGATGATTAAAATGGTCAAAAAGAGGGATTCAGATCCCAAAATGCAATCTTTGATCACATCTTACTTGGAATTTGGCGATTTTCGATCTGCTGCAATGATTTTCCTCGTGTGTATTGAGCGAAACTATGTATGGTGGAATGCTTTCCTAGAGGATTTCAAGAGTTTTGGGGGGAATCCACATGAAATTCTTGAGGTATTTGGTGAGTTGCAGAGTAAAGGAGTGATCTTTGACAGTGGAGTTCTTACTGTTATCTTGAAAGTTTGTGGAAATTTGATGGATATATGGTTGGGTTTGGAAATTCATTCATGTTTGATCAAGAGGGGCTTTGATTTGGATGTCTATTTGAAGTGCGCATTGATGAATTATTATGGGAGGTGTTGGGGCATAGACAGTGTAAATCAGGCATTTTATGAAATGCCTGACCCACAAGTTCTATTGTGGAATGAGGCAATTTTGGTGAATTTGACTCATGATAGATGGGTAAAGGCTCTGAAATTGTTTCGGGATATGCAATTTTCGCTTGTGAAAGCCAATAGCTTTACAATTGCTAAAGTCCTGCAAGCTTGTGGAAAAGTTGGAGCTCTTGAGCAAGGAAAGCAGATACACGGGTACGTCATTCGATTTGCATTGGAATCAAACACCTTGGTATGCAATTCACTGGTTAGCATGTACTCGAAAAATGGCAATCTTGAACTTGCTAAGGCAGTTTTCGATTCAATGGAAAACCGCAGCATATCTTCTTGGAACTCAATCATCTCGGGTTACACTTCATTTGGTTGTGTAAATGATGCGTGGAAGCTGTTTCATGAAATGGAATCTTCCGATATGAAACCAGATATCATAACCTGGAATTCCCTTTTGTCAGGTCATTTCCTTCACGGATCATACCAACAAGTCGTGGTCATTCTGCAGAGAATGCAAACTGTGGGTTTCAAGCCTAACGCAAGCTCAGTCATTAGTGTTCTTCAAGCAATTAGTGAATTAGGTTGCTTGAATTTGGGGAAGGAAGTTCATGGCTATGTGATAAGAAATAGAGTTGCCTATGACTTATATGTTGGAACTTCACTTGTAGACATGTATGTCAAGAATGATGACCTAACCAGTGCTCGAGCTGCTTTTGATAGTATGAAAAATAGAAATATATTTGCTTGGAATTCACTGATTTCGGGATACGCCTTCAAGGGCCGTTTTGATGAAGCTGTAACACTTTTGCATCAGATGGAAAAGGAAAGAATCAAACCCGATTTAGTGACATATAATGGCCTTGTTTCAGGTTATTCAATGTCGAACCACAGCAAGGAAGCTTTGGCAATGATTCGTCAAATCAAAAGTTCAGGGTTGATTCCTAATGTCGTTTCCTGGACAGCTCTAATATCAGGTTGCTCACAGAAGGGAAACTATAAGGATGCACTTAAGTTTTCTATCCAAATGCAACAAGAAGGTATAAAACCCAACTCGGCCACCATAGCAAGTTTACTTCGAGCTTGTGCAGGCCTGTCTTTCTTACAGAAGGGGAAAGAGATACACTGCCTCACTATAAGAAATGGTTTCAGTGAAGATGCATTTGTTGCCACAGCTCTTATTGACATGTACAGCAAATGTGGCAGCTTAAAGAATGCCCACAAAGTTTTTCAAAACATTCAGAACAAAACATCAGCTTCCTGGAATTGCATGATCATGGGTTTTGCTATTAACAGCCTGGGAAGAGAGGCAATCTCAATTTTTGATGAAATGCGTGAAGTGGGTATTCAGCCAGATGCGATAACTTTCACAGCTCTACTCTCTAGTTGCAAGCATTCGGGATTAATTGACGAAGGATGGAAGTACTTTGACAGCATGAAGGCAGGTTATGGTATTATCCCCACTATTGAGCATTGCTCTTGCATGGTTGATCTTCTTGGAAGAGCTGGATATCTTGATGAAGCTTGGGATTTCATTCAATCAATGCCCATGGAGCCAGATGCTACGGTTTGGGGTGCTCTTCTTCGATCATGTCAAATCCATGGCAACTTGGAGCTTGCAGAAATTGCAGCAAAGAATCTTTTCAAGTTAGAACCATATAATCCTGCTAATTATGTTCTGATGATGAACTTGTATACAATTTTGAACAGATGGGAGGATGTAGAGCATATTAAAGACTCGATGGACGTTATAGGGGTCAAACCTGGGCATGAATGGAGCTGGATACAAATCAATCAGATAGTTCATGTGTTCTGTGCAGTAGGAAAACCCCATCCTGAAGAAGCAGAGATATTTTTTGAGTTATATCAGCTGATTTCTGAAATGAAGAAGTTGGGATACTTGCCTGATGTCAAACGCGTGTATCAGAACGTTGATGACGTAGAGAAGGAGAAGTTGCTGCTTGCACATACAGAGAAATTGGCCATTGCATACGGACTCATCAAAACAAAAGGTAGTGCTCCCATAAGGGTGATCAAGAATACAAGAGTTTGTCACGACTGTCACACAGCGGCCAAATTCATGTCCCTAATCAGAACCCGCGAAATCTTCCTCAAAGATGGCGTTCGATTTCATCACTTCAGAGAAGGGAAATGTTCCTGCAACGACGTCTGGTAGTAAGGGATATCACTGCTTTCTTTGATACTGCAGCAAAGCATTGTGTGAAATCTTCTTTTGCTAGAGCAAAAGAAAATTATAAACTGAGCTGACGTATGGGATCAATCCACAAGCTATATTACAGATACAGTTTATCATTAACAAGTAACACTTAGTTGGGACTGTTGTAAAGTTTAGAGCTTCTATGTTTTCAAATTAACCTTGTGAGAACTTCTAAACTAGTGCTGAAAGAGAAAAAGTAATTGTGCAACACATTGACAATTGTTTACACAATCCATAGCATGAATATTGTGCTTCAAAGCCAAAGCAAATTTCTAATTAAGTTAAAAAAAAAAACAATTCACTGATGATTCTCATATAATTGCACACAAATTTTTCAGTTGCATCACTAGAATGTACAGCACACAAAAAGGATCAGTTTCTCCTCTCTTTTGCATAATTAGCATACATTCTTTTCACTTTATTATAATTGACTTCTTTCAGTGATGGAGTTCTCAAATTCCAAGATACAAGAACTGGGATCATTGGAGCGGATTTGCTTCAAGACCTTGGGATGTTCTTGAAATTCTTGCCCTAGTGACGTTTTCGAGATCCAGTTTGATGCTACTTGGGTCTATATATCCAGATAGACAACTTAGAGACTAGAGACATTCACTAACATGGGTATTTCCATAATTTTTCTGCCGATAAAGTATGAAGAGGCCTTTGCCATGCATCAGCGGACATATATACAAGCCAAGATCAAATTCAAATTAAATAGTTTCAACAACCCATGCCTAACCTGAACCCAACGACAAAAATAATTACACAATAAACTACAAGACTCGGTAGGGTTTGGATTGGCATCCCTTGTAAAAGTTGGGGAAATGTTAAAAGTTATGCTGCAATTTAAATTCCCAAATGTATTTCCAAAATCCAGAATGCTTTTGACTCCATTTGAGCGGGCATTAATCCATCTTACATATGCCTCAGGCTTAAAAACACCACCGACTCTACAAGCCCAAGTTCCCAATTCAGTTTTTGCTTTAACCACCAAAATGAGCAAAATACATATGCTCAAACTACCAACTATATTGAGATCAGACTTTCAGAAAGATCAGCAATATCAGGAGGAGTGGAGTATTAACAATAAGGATGGAATCAATCGAAGATTGTGACTTTGTCAAAACAAGAAGACAGACTAGCCAGGTACCTCCTTGGCTCTTTCTTTGTAGGGTATGCTTCTTCTCACACTGAGTCTTGGGATAGTAACAAGAAAATGAAAGCAATAACAGTTATCTGCTATAAAGACTAGGACGAGTTGCATACATAGTATATACAAGACTCACATAAAATCAACACAGCTATCGAAAGGGCTCAAACTAAATCCTACAATGTCAAAATCCAGTCAATAGAGACCCAACATTATATTTTTTACATGCATATTACAAACAAGCAAACAAAGCAGATAACATATACTAAACTGCTCAAAACCCAGGAATACAACAATAGAAGAGAACCTAATTCTTTCTTTCATACAATCCGTGGCCTACAAACAGAAGGAAAACCCCAGTATCACTTATAAGGCAAGAGAGATGCAGAACTTCTGGCGATTGAAGATCTGCCCCAACCAACTGAAACCTTGAACAGTATAACAACAGTTATCACCCTAACTCACCAACTCTCCGTTGAAGGGGTTCAGCACGATCCTGCATGGCCATCCTCTCAGAGACTTCAGACAAAGCTTTGAGGTTGCAGTTGATCAGGGCCTTGACAAAGAAACAAGTCTCATCTTTAGTGTTCCCATCAGGCACATCAACCACAAATGACTCGATCACTAACGTCCCTGGTCTCCCATCAATTATCTCTGGATGGACAGTGATAACTGAAGAGTAGTTCTGCAAAATTATCAAAATGAGAAGTTAATGGCAAATTTTCCAGCAGACTGCATGTTTGAGGGGAATTTGTTAAAAAAGACTAGTAGTAAAAAATCCAATCTGGAACAGCCTGCAAAATAACCTATACGCACAAAGAAATTTATAACAAGTATCATTGGCTTTGTTGTCTAATGGTAAGGCCTGTCATAGGCTGTTGCAGCATCCATTTCCGTGAGAAACCAGTATGACGGTAATACTCCAAAAGAGAACAGCAAGTACATGTCCACCCAGGAACTCAGCTTGCTGCTATTACTAAGTATAAGCAATGCTACAAATTCTTTACACAAAGGATGATGACAATATAAGAAAAAAATTCATCCTTATTCACTAAGGAAGTTGAACATCTGATTTGGAACAAATTTCATTTTGGGAGGTCTGTTGGAAAGGATAGATGATACCTTCAAAACCTAACAACTTGCAGCCAGTGTAGTGTAATTCACAGGTGTTAGGCTTATGAAAGATTTTATGCTGCAATCCATGAAGATGAATTTTGCTATCAACATGGCTAGCCTAATCAGCAAAAGCACTAGTCCAGTTCACGAGGCTCCCGCCATTGCAGAGTTTGGGGTGGGTTAGATGTATGCAATCCATGAGAGACACACTCATCATCATCATCATCTTTGCCTTTGTCCCATATGAATGGGGGACATGGAGAGACACGTTAATAGCCAAAATCTCAAGTTTGCTGATTACTTCAAAATTGAGATGGAAATAAGCATCCAAACATATGGGTCATCTGCATATAACCTTCACCGGTCTAAGGGATAGAGAATACAGGACTTCTCATTAAAGCAGGCTATGCATAATAATGCATGCAGAATTACCAAACTTTAATTTAAACAAATAGAAAATAAGTCATCACCAGTGAACATATACTATGTACTTCGACTATGTCATTTTTTACCACTAGATTTCTAGTAAATAGCAACAACACTTTTCTCGTCTTACAATCATGCAATTCCAGTTTCAAATATATTGCAAATTTACCCGAAAAAAGAATAAATAAAAAGGAAGAAGAAAATAAAGAAAATCATACCTTAAGCCTGTGATCACCACCGACGATCCTGATGCCAAGGATATGCTCCTCATCATCAAGTAGTTCCAACATCTCTGTGCTTGTTGTGGCCGGAAGCCCTGACCTGACATTCACCTCTCTGACACTTCCAATGTTAAGGTCACCCTGCATAAAGCACCTGCTGACAAAGGGCTTGTAATTCTGTGGCTGATCAAATCTCCTCACCAGTGACCAAACCTGATGAAACACATTTTAGCAGCAAAAACAATCAACAAAGCTTGAAAACAAACAATCTGTGCATATTATTGGCAACCAAGTCAAATTTCAATATATTTTGTGGCTACACATTAAAAAAATAACCCAATCAAATAACAGGAACCCAATTGCCTAGGCTGCAGGGTGTGGAATTTTCCAAACTGCAGGGGAACAGAGCCAATATTATTAGCTGGTTGATTAATCACTTAATTAGGTCTGAGTTCGGCTAAGGGACTGTGGATTAGTGGACTAGCTTTTGTACATAGTTAATAGGTTATGAACTATGATCCATATGGTTCAATGGGTAACGGTTGTGTGCATTTTAATATATAGGGTTATGCTGTTTATACATACCATTCAGTGAAAGAATTTCAGGTATAGTTTTATAATCTCTCTTTCAGATAATTTATTTTCTTTTCAATAATAATAATAATAACAATAATATAAGTCCAACACAAAACCACAGCTATGGATGCATTTAATTCATCCAACCTTTTGTCAAATAATAATAATAACAATAAAATAAGTCCAACACAAAATCACAGCAATATAGATGTCATTTAATTCACCAAACCTTTTGTCAAATAATAATAATAATCCACCAAACCTAACCTAAGCGTCAGGACTCAAATTCAACAAACATTCATAAAAAAAAAAAAAAATTAAACAAATGCACTCAAGATCGAGCTTTGAATATCAAATTTCCATAAAAAAAATAAAATAAAAAATAAAAAAATCAAATTTAAATCAAAAACCCAAAAAGCAAACAGCAACAATCCTTTTATAAGCCAAGAAAATAGAGAATTTTGATTAAAAAAATTAGGAACAATAACTTAAAAATAAAAAGTTCCTTCCTTTTTCTGCATTTCCTAAGCCACCACACAGGCACAGCACATAATTCAGAAAAAAGGAAATCAATAGTATCCCAAACAGAACCAAGAAAGGAATATCAAAATTAATTCTCAACATTCAATCTACATAAGAACAAAGATAATTATGTGTGTGTGTGTGTGTGTGTGTGTGTGTGTACATTTATAGAGAGAGAAATAGAAAATGGAGTGTTGTTACCAGATGAATAGGGGCTTTGATGTGTAAGAAGATGACCGAAGTGCACTGGTTTTCCTTAGGATCGTGCTTGTGGTGTCTACTTATGTACTGAGTCTCCATTATTTCTCCGCAACCATCAAAACCTCTCCAAATCGATTAAAATCACACACAACAACCAGAGCTAGTAACTACTCTTCGAAACCACTCTTTCAAGGCAAAGAGAGTTTATTTATTAGTTTTATTTCACTTATAATTTTCTCTGTGGTTCAGCCTTGGCATATCAATCTCTCACAAAAGATCTATCTATCTACTTCTGATAGAGATATGCAAATAGATGTATGTACATAATCTAGATATATATATTCCACCGACAGCGCGTCAGCGCCACTTCCGTTACTGAAATCCCCAAAAACCCCACTAGTGGCCCACCTAAGCACTTATCACGCGGATCCTCCGCAACTAGAAAAAGTTATTGGGTAGTCATGGACTACGGTTATTGAATGCGGTTTACTCACAAATGCATCTAAGCACGTACTATAGGGATCCTCGACAACTACAAAGAAGTTACAAATGCACACAATTGTCAGTCACCCTCTATGTTTTTTTTTTTATTTATTTATTATTTTTTTGATTTTATAATTACTAATATGTATATTTAGTGGACATCATTGGTACTTGCTTACTGAGTAAGAGCATCTTCAATCAATACGTTAAATCTAGGCTGCCCCTCCAACGATTAATTTTAGCACGAATAACTCCTCTAACGGGTATATCAAATGACTCAAATGTCAGCCAAATAAATTATTATTATTATTTTAATATATAAGTCACACATATCATTAAAACTTGTATAAATATATACCCAAATATTAAATAGTTTGACACATCATTGGAGTTCGGAAATATACATATGCCAAAATTTCATGTCAATTTACCACATCATACCTCAAATGAATTTGGTGGAGATACTCTAAATAAGTCATCCTTACTAATAGCTGATGTGATCCAATTACAAATGCATACATAATTTTTAAGTGATAAATAAGAATAATTACTTTTTTCTTGCAATAATTCAAATTATCTCCTCTAATTTTCTTATTTATCACTTTTTTTGATTTTGTAATTAGAGTTTTTGTATGCATTTGTAATTGAATCACATCCACAATAAGAAGGCGAAATATTTTCCATTTTTATTATCAAGGTAAATGAGATGTTTTGATTAGTCAGATTTTTTAATAACCGCTAGTATAAAGTGTTGTATATTTTTTGACTTTCGAAACAAGTCATCCAAGCGGGCATGATAATGTCTGGACACTATTGTAAGCTCAAAATTCTTTCTATTTTAATCCAAAGCGCAACAAGAACAACTAACAATCATCCAGTTCATTTTAACAAAATCATTCATTATATTAAAAATCCAACACTCATGCAATACAACACATTTATATTGAAAATGATAATTTTATACAATTCATTACATCGGTATTGCAATTTAATATTGTTGCAATTTCAATTTACTACCATGACTTGAGTGTTAGGAACATATATGGGGTATTTTGAGAATGTCAATAATGTAATATTCCAATCAATTGAATAGAGAGTTTTGGATGGAAAAAATTTTAAAATTAAGGATGAATTACATTAAACTCTCTTTTTTTTATTTATGTTTTGCATTAAACTCTTTTTTTCAATTTTTTTGTCAAAAAAAATTCTCTCAACTATCACAGGGGGTGACTTAGCAAATAGACGTTAACTGAAAGGGAACTGAAACAGAAATTGACTTAAATACCTATTAGACCTATTTAAAAATCTACTTTGTGGGTGCATTTTGATTTTTTTATTATTAAATAACCTAAACGACATCATTCATATAAATTGACACTTCTATTTTTTTAATATGTTAACATTTTACTAGACTGTCAAGTTCACATTAGTCACATGAAAGAAATAGAGTTTTTATAGAAAAAACTATTTTGAAATAAATAAAAAAAGAAGAATAAGAAGAAAAAAACATGGAGGCATAAATAATATAAAAAAAATTAGGCATTATTTTTCGTAGTAAACCTTTTTAACAAATCTATATAAAATGAAAATTAATAAAAACAAAAAAGATGAATGCACAATATAACTCTCAATAAATATATATATATAAGATGAACAAGGAAAACCCCAGATTCATATAGGTCTAAATGTTGGATGGAAATGCAAATATAGTATAAATAATATTTAATGGTACATATTATATATAATATTATAATGATATATGTGTGTGTGTGTGTGTGTGTGATAAGTAAATAAAAAAAGTTGAGCAAGAAAAATGGTATATATTGTTGCACTAGTGGAGGATGTGTGAGTAGGAGTATTAATGAAGTAGATATATATGTAGGGTATGTTAAAATAGGTACGGGGACATTTTTGTCTCAAAAATATATGTGAAAACTTAATGTCCAACTCACTCACTTTCAACTAACTTCCTTCATGTAAATCACCCCCTCGGATAGTTGAGGGGAATTTATTTGACAAAAAAATAGAAAAAAATAGTTTAGTGCAAAAAGGAGATAGAAAATTAGAGTTTAATGCATTTCACCCTAAAATTAATGTATTAAAAAGATTGAAATTTTTATTTTTTTATTTTTTATTTGGTCTTTTAGAGCACGTGTATCTATCCCATAATATACGCACCATTCAAGTTAGAAGTGTAATTCGAAATCAAGTTAGAAGTGTAATTCGAAAGTGAAACTTTAATAATTTACTTTCTACGTCTCTGCCGACGAGGCCTTGAGGTTCAATTATGCTTTCGGATGGATGAGAAGTTAGAAGTGTAATTCGAAAGTGAAACTTTATTAATTTATTTTTTACGTCTCTGCCGACGCGGTCTTAAGGTTCAATTATGCTTTTGGATGGATGAGGATTATTCCATAATAACAATACTTATCCCAAGTTGATACTAATTAAAAGTTGAAGGTGCGCGCGGTTGGTTATTCTTGGCATTGGGACCTACTTTATTTGACTTGCACCGACCATTTGGTTTATTCAGCTTTATAATTAAGATATAGTTGATACAAAGGAACCTTGCTATAAATTAGGAAGACTAAATATGTAACTAATTGGTATTTCTTAGTGATATATATAGTTTTCAAAGTCAGGGTATTGTTATTATTTTTGTCACTATATGCACGGTCACCCTCACGCTCCATCTATATTTTTTACTTGGGCTTTTAAGTTGGACCAAACCAAGCACTGGTCCACTGTATTTGTCATCTAGTGGTTCTTGATATTTCGAATTAAATAGTAATAATCGCATTCAACTATGTATCAAATTTTTTTTTTTTTTTTTTTTTCTGTTAATTTGTTGCTCTCAATGATAATTGTAGTTCACAAAAGATTACCACATTTTATTTGAACAAACTGAAATTACAGTGAATATAAATTTTTGCAGATTTTAGTGTATATTTATGCAAATTGATAGTCCACAATTATGTCCTCTCTGTTAGTCGATTCTTTATTTTTCTTGAAAAAAAAAAAAAAAAAAAAAAAACCGGAAGAAGGAAATCATGGTTTACATTTGAAATATCTTAGTGCCAAATATTTAAGAAATAAAAATAAAATAAAATATTTGGTATGAATGCGAAAAAATTATACTAATTAAGTTGATTGATATTTTAGGTCCAGTGTCCAAAAAAACGATGTGATATAAAATCTATCTTAAATTAAAGAGTCAACTCTTCATAGTTTTTGTCTTAACTATTAGGTGATTATTTTTAATTACGTTTATAATAAAAAATAAAAAGTAAAATATAAGAATGAATTCTTTTTAATTTTTAAATAATTCATTTTTAAATTATGACGTTTATATAATTTCAATTTACAATTGGACCGGATGAAACTAGACTCTCACATCTAACAGTGGTTAGCAAGGATGAGGCCTTATTTTTTTTGGATTGCTATAATGTTGATTTTGGCAACAAAAATATGTTTGATGCGATTTTATTTTATTTTACACAATGTTAAAGCACTTCGTGAATAGTGATCCATAATCAAAACACCAAAATTTTTTTTTTTTTTTTTGTTTTGACAATTGTTTATGACCAAAATTATAACTATGTATATTTGTTTCTTACATTTTTATAACAAAACATCATTTTTAAATATACTTTTAATTTAAAAAAAAAATAAAAATAGTATTTTTGTTTTAGCTAACAACCAAATCGCTTAACAAAAAGGGCACACCAAACGGGACTGAGAGAGTCTCATAAAAAAGAAAAAGGTGGAAGGGTTATTGCAATTGAGTATGGGAATCAAAAATTGCAGTCTTCTTCTTTTTGGGCCACATTCCACCCCCACTACACTGCTTTAACCAATTACAAAAAAGTTTCAATCCCACTAAATCCAAATTTCACCGGTCAATTGGTTGGTTGACAGAAGCCCATTTGCCATATTTCTAGAGGCTCCGTGCCAAGTGGAATGACTAGGCCCACCTCTGTCCACAAACAATTTAATTTTATTCCTTCCCCTTTGGCCTTATCTTCCTAAGTAAAAAAAGGTAACAGAAATTCAAAGAAAATGACCCTTAATTTTGTTTGGGGTCTGTTTGGTTAGCCAGAATTTGATAATAGAAAGTTAAAAAAAAATAAAATGAAGTAAAAGAAAAAAAATAATTTTTATTATGCATTTGGTTAGTATGAATTTTTTAAAAAAAAAAATTTGTGAGAAAATATTGTTTCATTAGTTTGGATGACAAGAAAATGAAAAAAAAATGATTTTATATACCAAAATTACCCTTACTAATTTAATATAAATAATATACCTAGCATAAAAAAAAAATATAAGATCGGGTTATGAATAAATATATATATATATATATGTCCAAATACAAATTTGGTAATTGAATAGTTTTTAAATTTAATTTTTTTTTTTTTTTTTTATTTTAAGGTTGCAATATATATTATGACTCTACTACTGTATTAGATTAGTTCACTTCTTTTGTGAGTGTGGAGAAGAGTCCTATTTTTAAGAATCATAAAGTTGCAACTTAATAACAGAATTCTAATATATCGATGAAGAAAGAGATGAATGAATAAACAATTAATAAGGGCATAATAAGGAACCAAAATATAGTTATGCAACTTTCACTGGAAACTAGAATTTTGCAGTATTTTTTGGAAGAAACATTTTCAAGAAAATTAACTAGTTGCGAGAATATTACTTTATTGAAAAATTTTCTTTTCACGCCAACTAAATTGTTAAAAATTAAATATTTTCTATTTATTTTTCCTTTCTTGCTTAGTTCGCGCTAGTCTTTCTTGTGTCGTTCACTCTAATCGAAAAAG